AAAGGCTTTAAGTAAATAATCCGGCCAATATCTCTTCAATTCCAAGTCTCTATTAGTTCCGGACCTATTCAATAGTGATCTGCGGAGTAAGTTGCAAAAGCCGACGCTGTAAATGCAATTAGCAAGTTCCGGCCTACTATAGTAATATGGGATTGGGATTCAGCGTCTATTAAGTTGGATTTCGATTTAGAAAACACGAATATATGTTTTTTTCTTCGCTTTCGGCTTGTTGCTGTGGTTCAAAATGCACTTCATCTAAAATCCATGGGGTGCCTCTAGGTTTCCATGGGGTGCGGGTAGGTTTACTCATAAAGAATATGTTTCTTATTGAAGGGATGCCAATATCATAGGTCTCGCCAGCTTCGTGAACCCGATCGATGTCGGCGCGAGTTGGGGGGGTCCAGGCTTGCATGGCAAAGTTCTATCCCTAAGCGTCAGTTTGAGGCCAAACACCAAAACATATAAGGCATCTGAGAGGTTTGGGCACCGAGTGGGATACCCAGAGGTCAGGTCACCCGGCGAAGGATACTTACAGTCCCTCCAAGAAGAACGGCTGAACATACGTTCATAGCCAAGTGAATCCACATATCCGTGGACCCAACCTTATCGCAAGTAGAGTCCATCATGACGACAGTCGCAGTGTAGCTTCTGCTCTTGTTTGATGCCTGAACATGACGGTCAACGCAACGCTAACCGAAATGTTCACAAACAGCATGAGCCAAGAAGCAGCACACAGCAGCTTCAAGGAACCTCGCCAGTTGCCAAAGCGACGGGAAATGGAACCCATTGATGATGGACGAGGGTCGGGAACAGAGTCATCACTCTTCTTTTCAGAAGGTTTTCTGTGGATGAGGAATGGCCCGTAAAGAAACCTCATGATAATGACTTGATTGAGCCTGAGCTCATGTGTTCTCTGGAGGCAATCCTCAGGGCACGATGAAAGTTTATCTGAGGGAACCCAGATGTTTAAATTGGCAGGGTTGGAGGCCAACCCAAATGGCAGTGCCTACCCCTCGTCCATGTTGATTGACATGTTGGGCACACGGTCGTTATCTGGGCCTTGCCCAAACCGTTTTGGAAGTCGCCTGCAAATGTGTAAGGATATGGGCGACCTTGAGGATGGAAAGGGAGCCGGCGCTACTCCGTTCGGAGAGCGGGATAGGTTACGGATATTGAGACTGCCTCCCAAATCCCAGTGTTTGGAGAGAGTGTGACACGGCCCCCACAGAGTAACTCGGAATTCGTCCGGTTTCTCCGCCAGGCTCGTCCCGGCCAACGAACCGGACATTCTAAAGCTCTCCAACCAGGCACGGATTATAGTGCTGCATTCATAACGGTCAGTAAGCGTACTTTATATCTGCCAGACTGCCCACTGTAGCGACCAACTTCCGCTTTAGCTGTGCCGCGAGTTGTGGGAATTGAGCCACAGTACAACTTAACCGGCCGGTGACTGCGCCATCCCCGTGTAGTACCGACCCCCGATAACGACGCGGGCGGTCAAGTAACGGAGGGAGGACCTGATTATACAGAGTTAGCTGACAAGGAATATAACGAACGTACCTTTCTCATCGGCGCAACAGAAGAGCCCAATAAATGCATCTTCCCCCCTGGCGAACAGCGTTATTCCTCTCGGCCAGGTCTTTTCGACCGGGCGAACAAAAAGCGATGGCGTCCGCACAACTCTACGCATTGAAATCCCCGGATGAGCCCTGTTCTTGGGTCGCTGTTGCCTCTGACCTTCTCGCGATTTTTTGCATCAGCACTCACCATAACGTACCTCGTATTGGGGCATCGTTGGATATTCAACCAGAAGCTTATCGCGACTCGCGACGACATCACATCATCGGCCGGCGAACGTGCTGGTTTTCTTGGTGTGCGAATACTGGTCCTATTTTCTGCCTGCTTAGCTCTAACCCGGTCGGCACTCCATCTCAATTTGACTTTTCTGGTAACTCAACCTGGGTTTCCAATGGCAAGAATCCGGAGCAGAAGTATACTGGCTTGCCATCCAAGCCTTTACCTGGGCATCGTTACTTTACACCGCGTATACCGTATCATTGACCATTCGCCAATTTTTCCCCGGGGGCTTCTCAAAGAGAGCTCGTCGCTTGACTGCATTGATGGACAATGTGCTTATGTTTGCGACCTTGGGCTTATGGACTCTCATGGTGGCACTATCGTCAAAATCGTTAACCGCATCATTGTGCATGACGTTTGCGCTTTTGGCGTGGACTGACCTGTTGATGGTAACTCTTCTTTCTTCCATGCTGACCATGCTTAAGCATGCGTCACGAACAGGAATTGAGGGTATAAGTTTCGTCTTTTCTTATTAGTCTGTTTTCTTCCCATTTGCACTGTTAAGGAGTTAACCTCCCGAGACGCACCAAAAACTTTAAGGTACGCATCCACCCAATCCAAGTACATTATTATTCGGCCCAACGCTTTATTTTGAAAATGAAAACCATCCCTTCTACTTCTTGGGCCTAAACATTATGGGGACCGTATTTTATTTTATTTCCAAAACTCAAATTTGGAAAGATACAAAAGTTACTAAATTGGCGCTGCCGTGGTTACTTCGTTCGGATTTTTCATCACCAAAAAGTTCATTCCTTCCAAAAGATTAATATAGGGTAACTTCTAAATACCTAGTTTATCAAATAACAGTTTTCTGAATTCAAATATCTAATGTAGCATATTGTAAAGATATTTGGGTAGAAATTTAATGCGTACCTCAAAATATTTGGTGCGTCTCGGGAGGTTTACTCCTGTTAAGACTGGCGCGCATCAATCACACTGGTAAACAGCAGGAATTGAGAATCCTCACCATCTTTACCCGTGAGCTGTCTCCGGTCATAGTGGCAGGAATCATGGTATCCACCGCGCTGCTCGTCTTATCATTGCCGCCCCATTTCGGAGCCGAGTTGCCTTCGGCAGTTCGCAACATCTTCACCACGGGTGACTTTGACCTGACAGCACTGATTTGTGAAGCAGTTGCTGTCCAATGTTGCCATATGTGGACCATTATTGTAGCGAAAAGGTTGGAAGCAGTCCTAATTGACCCAATGACGATGGGGGGAAGCAAAAGGCAGTTACCCACGGTCGCGGTTACAATCGCCATGTTGCCCTAGGCTATGGGATCGGCGTGCATATACGTGATGGCAATACCGTCAAGCACCACATTCATTGCTGCCATCTTCATGAGATGCTTCAGTACTCCGGCCACTGCGGCGCCCGTGGAATTGATCTGGCTTGAGCAGGGTCCTTGTACGTCCTCCGGCCCCGGCACTCCGGAAGAGGTTACACAACCTCCGGGCCGGCCCCACTTGGACGGCCTCAAAGTCTCCACTTCGCCGAGAATCCGGGGACGCTTTGACCGAATAATCGGTCCAACCGTGACAAAGGAGCTCCAAAGCCATCCTGTAGTTTGCCCAAGCCCGAGACTCATGCGCTGAGCCACTCAAAATCACAGCTTTGCTTAAAAAGAAGACGTTCCTCTGCCGTCACCCAAGACTTGATTTCCGGCCTCCGCCGCTGGCACTACTAACGTGAGGCCCACCATCCTGCAAGAGGCCCAAGTCAAGACTGTCCGCACAACATCGTGCTTACTTCGAAACTCTCATGTGTTATTGGTGGAGTGGAGGAGAGAGATCCAAGGACTGGGAAGTGTGGTGTAACGCTGCTGCAAGAGGCCCGTGGATGCTAGTATGTGATGTTGCGCCGGTAGTTTGGGACCGCACCGGCCACATGCTCGTGGTAGCTAGTGGTGAACACAGCAAAGGACACACAACAATGAACATTGTACTCCTTCCGGCTTCAATATCATGTGTGGTTTGTATGGTGTTTTTAACTTTCCAACAAATGGCAATGTACGTACTCAGTGATAGGAAAAGACTGGGGAAAAGCGGTACTCCTCTAACGCAACACCCAAACTGTGCCCCTTTCGGCACACAGTCAACAAAACACAAGCCCTTGAAAACAGAGAAACAATGCAAGATGATGAAATAAATCGAAGGGCAAAATCATGACTCGTAAAAAGGAATTCCCATCACCCGGAACCCAACAGAGGTTCGCAGCGGTCATGTTTTCTCCCGCTTGTGACCGACGGTCTCCTTGTGCCTCCGCACATTGTCCTTTCTCCCTTTGTAGTCGCAACCCGGGTAATCGCACTTCGTTTTCTCCTCTGGGATCTCATTTGCTCTAGCGTACCCCGAGTGATACGACCAGAAATGACGGTGGAGGTCTTTCAGTTCTGCGCCGCCTTTGTAGCCACATTCAGCAACCATGGGACATTGTCGGGGTCGTTTGTGGTTGTTTTGGTGCTTCCTGTAAGGAATTCCATGTCAGCGATTAAGAATAGAGCTAGTGAAGGAGATGGAAAAGAAGGCCAGGCAGATGTATCGGAACAGGAAGAATGACGCACGTTAGATCGCATTTCCGCTTAAAGACAGGCTTAGTCTTGCATTTGGAAGTAGTGCATTGGAACTCGCCAGTGGCGGTAATGGCGAAGGTTAATTCTTCGTGGTCGCTAGGTTGCTGCATACTGTCAAAGTCTTCGAAGTCGACGTCCTGGGAAAGTTGAAGTGGTAGAGAGAGTGGTGGTTGTTGCTGTTGCAAGGCCGAAGAATGGTGTTGAAATGAATGTTGGTAAGAAATGCTGCCTTCTTGGCCGTGTGTGTAGCCATCTTGCCCAGAGGTGACATATGGTGGCTCCGAAGGTAATGAAAACGTTCCGATGCTGTCTGAAAAAAACCTTGAGTCTATTTCTAGACTCGGGTCCAAGTCTCCAACCGCATCCGACTCGGGGTCCATCGTCTATGCTGATGGAGCGTAGCGGGGTGGAGGGTGAGCACCTGCTACTTCTGCCGAACCGTATTGGTGGGAGTCTTGTTCTCTAGCCAAAGGGATATCAGAGGCCTGATAGGCTTGGAAGGGTTGGTCAAATGGGTAAATCGAGTAACTTTGAGGGATCTGAGGGGGGTCCGAAGGCCCGACTTCAGAAAAAAGGGGAAAGGAGCAAGCCTGTGTATTGATATAGGAGTCTGAAGCCCGGACTCCAGTATCGTACGTGGCTTGATACTGGCCCATATCCAAGTGACTTGGGTCTACAGTCGGGCTCTCCTCATCGTGGCGCATGGGAAAGTTGTATTGTGCGTTTTCCCCAGGGTCGTCTCCACTGATTCCAAAGCGAGATCCTTTTGGAGTCAGTGGCATATCTGATGACACAATGCCAACGCCAGGAGGAGTGTCTGGAGCGAAAGATGACCAAGGGCTGTCCGGGTCGGAATAGCTGAAGGCCTCGCCGGTGTTGCCAACAATATCATCCCAGGCATTGAGGTCAAAATGATAACCACACTCAGCAACTGAAGAGTCGTGGTCAGATCTGGTATGGTTGTCGCACATGACAGTAGTGGGTCGTTAACGTCTCTTGGATCTGACACGGACTGAGCGGGTGGTGTACGTGTGTACGAGGGCGGGATCGAAGCGATCGATAGACGAAAATGGGCGCTCCGGTCCCGACAAACAAGAGGTTTCTGATGCTGAATACGGTAAGACGTGTCCCCGGTTGCCGGTGACCTCAACGCAGTTGGAGCCACGCAGAGTTCCGTCGGTGTGAGTTAACAAGGTGATATAAAGAGCCCTGGAAGCCAGGAGGAACAGACCAGACTGTGCTTCGCTGCTTAGCAGCTCTCATGGTTCAAATACTGGGTTCATGATGGCTTCCCAAAGCTGGAAACCTCCAATAGAGACATGATCTCCAAGCCCTGCTGTTAATGCACCGAGGCCCACCGTCAAACGCAGATTCCCAAACAGGAAAAGTGTTTTGCCTACATCGCCAACATGGCCAACAAGGCTAAATCTGCCAGAGGCCTACGAGGCCTACGAGGCCCACGACGGTGATGGGGCTCTTGCTTCCACTGGCGCGGTAGGACTGGTAGAGTGTAGGCCGATCTTGGCCCAATGATGTGACCTAGTCTTCTCCTCCAACGTCCTCCAATTGGCCCAAAGAGAGGCAACTGAAACCGTGATAGGCTGTCAATTGTCGAGGTGAGGCGTAAAGGTAGATAAATAATGGCATGCCTCCAATGCAAGACCTGTCTGCCTCCATTCGACCCAGGTCTCCGAACAACCGAGGCTGCTTCTTGGACTCGCACTGTTGCGCAAGAACTGAGCAAAAGGGCCTCTAACCTTTGCATAGACCTGTTTCGACATCCAAGGGGCCAAAAGCCTTGTTGTTTGCTGTCAATCACATCACGCAGGGTGCGATGGTGCGTGGAGGCATGCTCTTGGCTCGTCCTGTTCCGCGGCGGTGGGCCTCACGAACATGAGATTGCCGTCGAATCTCGACGAAACCGGTCGCAGCCCATGCTGTGGGCCTCATGAAGAGCGACTCCGGGACATTGCGCTTGGAAGGAATGAAGAAGTTCAACCCAAGGTCTTGAGAGCAAACGATTTTCATTCTTTAAAAGCCCCCGAGGAGAACGGTCTCTTCCACTTAGATGAGTCACATCTCCTCAAGTCGGCCTGTTCCTATCATTAGCTCATCAAGATTCCTCAACACTTCATCACCATTGCACTTACTCGATATTTTCGTTCATTATTCTCCCCAATCATCGACAACATGTCATCTGACGATGAACTCCCCTCCAATGTCGTCGCGCTGGAATCAGGTCTCAGCCTGCGGTTCTACGAAGCCGTTCTGCTTCTCTACTGCCTGAAGGAAGTAATGTACGAGGCAAAGAGCGTCAAGGAACCCGACCTCGAGTCTGACGTTGGAAGATCTTCGAGGGACTCTTTTCGGTGCTTTGTCAACAAGCTTGCGCAGATTTGCGACAACGAGCTGGGAGGCAGGACTGTTACAGCATTCGCTGTACTTCAACCCGGCCAGACTCAATATCGGTTTGCATCCAACCAGCGGAGCAGCGGGGAGCTTGAAGACGTCAAGACATATGTTTCCAATATTCTTGGGACCTTGGGCGGAACCCCTGACGACAAATTGAGTGGAGTGGTTGGAACGGTTCTCGAGAGCGTCCTAGCGTTCAATCGACCTGTCATCGAACAATACGCCAAGAACTTATTCCGAGTGACGGAGTTCTGTGCTCGAGTCTGTGGAAAAGAGGATAATGCAAAAGGTACGTGTGCTCACTGGCAAATTCCAGCAAATCTGTCCTGACCAGCCGTCTCATCTTATCCAGCTCGAGAAGCCGCTCGTGATATCGATACTCTGGGGAGGCTTTCTGCATTCGCATCATTGGGACCTGGGCAAAAACTGAATCTGGAGGATTGTAAGTGTTCAGTCTTCACCTGCAATTGTTGCCACAACTACAATACTAACCAATGTTTTAGTCATAAACCAAGCGGTGGAGCTCCTAGACACCATCAGCAAGCTCTACAACTCTTCCTTTGAAGGATTTATCCGCGACAAGGCTCATGCCGACAGGGACCCCGGTATCAAGACGCCTTGGAGCGAGCTACGACACGCCTTTGGCCGTCTTCATTCCTATACCATTGCCGTCAAGGTCCTCGTTTCTATGCGGCGTCGACGCCAGGAGCTGTTTGAAAATTTCGAGATTGTGGCTGTGCCATCCAGTGCACGATCTAGCTGCCCGAATGTCCGCCGCAAGGTTGATCGTATCCTGGACCGCTTTCCTCCGGACATGAAGATCGGTGAAACCTACAAGACTAATCTCCCAGAAGAGCTGCGGGATGTCATGGACAAAATGGTCAAGAAGTGCGGGACGGGCAAAAAGGGAAAGTTCAGGCCGTACGTGCATGCCGAATTGTTGCTGCTCAACTCAATCCTCACTGAGGAAGAGCGCGAGGGCGCAACACTGCGCTTCTTTGGTGGAGCAGACTATGATCGATACATTGGCTGCAGCAAGCCCACTTGTCGACTGTGCAAGCTGTATATCGACAGTCATCCCAGCGGAGTGGAATTCCGGGGCGGCCATGGGAACATCTACCACGAGTGGCGCGCACCGGATATCTGCAACGACGAGGGTGTCAATGTTGAGAAAGCAAAGAAGATAAGACAGAGTATCCACAACAAGATGTTGGACGCAATAAGGCAAAGGATCCAGACGACACTTGATGATAGGGCGATTGAGAGGAAGAATCACGATTCCAACTCGACTCCTACCAGTTACATCGGAGCTGGACGCTCGACGTGCAACCCGCACTTGGGAGCACAGGCTGCTATTTACGGGATGGACAGCATCTCGACGACGGGCGCAGTGGATGACTCGGATGATGTGGCAACCCCCCTCGGAAGGCTCACCATCGCTGGCAATAGTGATCGGTCTGGGTCTCGGACATCAATCAGCAGAAGCTCGCAGGACACGACTCCCGTTCCCGATAGTAATGCTGCTTCTCCGAACGGCTTGTCCCTGAAGGCTGTTATCGACAGACGACAACGTCCTTTGATTATCGAGGCGGATGAGTAGGATGTCGGGTCGAGTGTGTGGTGTAATTGGAGCGTTGGGTAGGTTTTGAGCCGAGAGACGGGCATGGAATTTGGCTGTGGACTTTCGTTTGTGTTGGATGTCGAATTGTGTTTGCCTGCAATCTCCTTTTTCTTGTTAGTTCACTTGTTATCGTTGTTAAGCACTGTCATGATCATGAAATTAAGAATGCACTTACTTCTGCCGTTTCGCGTTTTGAGTCAGGTGCAAGTTGACGAGCGATGTGACGACGGGCTTAGCTGTGATCGGGAAGGGTTGGGAATGCAAGAGGATTCGTTGGGAGGCCGGAAATTCTTCCTCTGCAGAGTTTTCCAGCATCATCGCGCTCCAGTGGTGCTTTTCCTACCTTGGAAGGGGTATTGGATGTTCTTGCCATCTTCCCGAATTTGAAGCTCAAGGCCAATGAGAAACTCCGGGCATCTGTTCTTTCCGTTCTCACACACAAAAGGTAGGTACCGGCGAAGCAGGTCCCCGCCCGAACCCTCGTCGTTCTCTCCGCTGTACCGATGTCGCAATTCCCCCTCTTCGGCTCGGTCCCGATTCCAACCCGGTGCAGTCACGAGAGAGCCGGCCTCGAGCACACTCCTTCCCAAGACGCAACACAAAAAGTGGCAGGTGCAAAAACCCCCATTTCGCGAACCTTCCCGGCATCGGAGCGGCTGCTGTATGCGATACTAGGGCCACGGAGAAGGTGTGATGGAAGCTTCAATTTGCTCATGGACCCGGGCAAGTCGATTGTTCCTTTCTTCCATATAGCACTACGAACGCGACGATGGCGACATCAAGTGACGTGAGCCAAGGTCGTATGGGAGTTGTTGATTTTGGTTTGGGCAACAGCGAACTGACCTGGCGCGGGGTCATGGGAGAACGCGTGGCCGATAAGATAAGACGCTCTCTCCCGGCAGGCAAAAAGGTACGTACCTCCCGTCCGTTTGTAAGGCAGCTCGACCAATTCTTTTTGCTTTCTTCCGCACTCTCTTTCTATCTTCTATCTCGTTTATTTACCGATCATTTCCGTACCAGGAAAGTAGGAGTTTAGCAAATAGCTGCTATGCAGTTGACTTTTTGAGACGCTTGTTCTTGCCCAAACTGTTGTTCTATAGCCAAATGACAGCAGAATAACGGTTCGGAAGTGTCAACGCTTCGTGGTTTCTCTATACCGCATATTCTCATTCAACTGGGTTTTATTCCCCTGCTGTTCGGGCCAATCAGGTAGTAAGCTTGGTCTGCTAACAGCGTTGCGGAGTCGGCATCCAAAGACATTAATAGCCAAAAAGTCCGGGGGATAAAACCCAGTTGAGTAAGAACTAGCGGTATATCTACAGCACAAGTCAGCAGGTCGCGTGCGGTTAGTACGTTAGTGCCTTTCGCGGGCGGGACCCGTATAGAGCCCCGTGCGCACTAACCAATTATTATCGCACGAACGTTTCTGCTCACAAAGCCCACGTGAATAACTGTTAGCACTAACATGTTAACTTTCATCCTGTTAGCAGCCGTGCAAAAAAATCCACCACGGAAGGGCCGTGGCAGCTTGCCTGCCGCCCCGAACACTATTTGCATCTCATTTACATCTCCAATTGCCATTTACACCTCCATTTACACCTCCATTTGCATCTCCATTTGCATCTCCATTTGCACCTCCATTTGCACCTCCACGCTTTATATAAAATTGAAAGGCCCTTCCTAGGTCCCTTTTAGTCTTACATCCTTTACGGGAGGGCCGAGGCCCGTAGGGCCTCCCGGAACACTAGTCAGACGTTTAAGACCTCCCAACCAATAATGAACAGTAAGAAAAGAGTAAAATAATGGTTGAAACAGCTGAGCGTTGAAATAACGAGATATTGACTACGTCAAAATTTAGGTGAGATTTGAAATATAGTAGTTGCTGTTCAAACTTTTTTTCCAACAGTCAATTTACAGTTTGCTAGACCCCCCTCCTCTTTCCTGTTACGGTTGTCTCACTCACTAGTCGCTTTCCATTTCATTTTCATGCTATCATTCAATCCGGTGTTAGCGTATGCTGGTTGCTGGAAAACTCCCGGCAGCACTCCGTCAGCACCTCCATGCCCTAGCCCCCGATATTTCCACTGGACCGTGTCTTTCTTTTCACACTTCACTGCACTGTATATACTTTCACCTTTTCACGTTTTGGTCTTTGACTTTTGGGGCCAAACAGGAGTTTCGATCAATAGCGTGTTATACATCGCAACAATTATCCCCCAATTTTGTTTTCTTGCACAGTATAATTTCCGTAACAACCCAAATAGACAAAACCCATCTTCTCTTCCGCTCTATAAGTACCTAGGATTAATATCCATGATCTCTTCCTCGCATTCCAACCTATTACATAACCGGCATGTTTTCTTTCTTCGTTGATCCCAAGATTCGTTTGCTCTTTTACCCCTTCCTTGTACCTGCCAACACCACCAGCTGCTATTAAAAGATGCTTCAGTCTCTTCCCTTTCACTCCTGTAAGAAAAACTAATCATTGTTACCTGCCCGACTGAACCGTTTATTCTAGTTCCCAACCATTTCTCTTCATTTTTCAACGCCCCCTCCCCCCGATTTGATTCCGCTATTTCTCCCTCCTGTCTACCTCACCGGCCATTCCCGTCGGTTTCTTAACGCTGCTGGCCCACCACCAGTGGGTACCACGGGCCACTCGTCACACTCGCTGTAGCCTTTAATCACCACCGAGCCCCCTTGCCCAACACTCGTCATCGGGCCTTCTTTTACTCAAAGAATTATCTCTAGTCAATCTTACCTTCCCGACGAGATAAACACTCTAAGGCTCTCTAGACCATTTCTTCTCTTTGTTTCACTTCATTTTTTACCCCCGACCCTTTTCCTTTCTCCCGACAAAGAACTGACTCAGTCATGTCTAACCTCCCGTCAACTCTCATCTCCCCTCGCTTTTACCGCCTGTTCCCCTCCATATTCCACCTCCTCGCCAACCCTAGTTTACCTCCCAGTCTCCCTCCCATCCCTTACTCCATATATGAACATACCTCCCCTCTACTAACCTACACTACTGACCATAACCACCGGGCTTCCTAAACACCGCAAACCCACCACCACTACCATTCATCCCACCAGCAGTAGCAGTAGGACTAGCCACCGCCGCGCCTACATTTGCCCATTTCCACGTGGTCGATGACGTGGGACAAGATGATGTCGTTGTGGTCGACGACGACGTGGGACAAGATGATGTCGTTGTGGTCGACGACGACGTGGGACAAGATGTGCTAGATGTGCCCGTGGCGTTGGCCGCGTAGGTGTACGTGATTGTGGTGCCGGCTACGGTAAGGGTGGTGACGCTGAGGTTTGTGATGCAGCTGGTGGTGGTGCTGCTAGTGCTAGACGTGCTAGAAGTACTCGTCCCCGTATTGGCCCCCACTGTCCCCGTGGTCGTCACCGTTGTAGTCCCCGTTGTCGTTGTCGTGCTCCCACCCAGCGTCGTGGTGGAGGTGAAGGTTGACGTAAACGTGGAAGTCACGGTTGAAGTGGAGGTTCCAGTAGAGGTCGTGGTGGAGGTGGAAGTTCCAGTGGAGGTGGTTGTTCCTGTAGTCGTTCCTGTTGTTGTGCTGGTTGAGGTGCCGCCGATTACGATGGTGGAAGTGAAGGTTGAGGTGAAGGTTGAAGTGAAGGTGGAGAGGGAGGTGCTTGATGTGCTACTAGTGCTACTAGTGCTACTGGTAGTAGAGGTAGAAGAACTAGTTGTTGAGGTTGATGTCGGAGAGAGAGTGATAGTGGACCCGTTTGGCAGGGTAATGACTGTTAGAGTCTGTCATTTTTGTTAGGATATCTATCTTGACCATCGATAGAGGAGGCATCCAATGGGGTTCAAAGACACGGAGAACTCACACTAACACCCCCCACAGTTGAAGTACTGGTACTGGTAGTCGTCGTCGTAGTAGTAGTAGGACTAGCTGCAGTCGTAACAGTTACCGTGGTGGTAGATACCGTGCTGGTGGAAACAGCGTTGTATGTTGGGTATGAGAAGGTCGATGTGATGGTCTGTGAATCATCATGTCAGTACCCCCTATTCAACTCAACGCCAACAGTCAATCTAAGATACGGATGTCGATTGATGACTTGACTTACCACAGTAACAGTAGAAGGCGTAGCCGACAGAAACCCCGTATTGTTACCACCACCGCCAAACCGGCATTGGCATGCATACTGAAGGATATTCGCCGGGTAGGCTCCCAGGTTTCGGGCGTTGATGTTGTAGCAGTTGTTGTTGTTATCGTTGTTGTTGCCATTAAAGCCGTTGTTGCCGTTGTTGCCGTTGTTGCCATTAAAGCCGTTGTTGCCAAAATTACCATTGCCGTTGCCATTGCCGTTAAATCCATTGTTGCCGTTGTTGCCATTGCCATTATTCCAACCATTGCCGCCCCCATAAACATTCGTCTGCGTAGCAGCTACAACGCTCGTCACCGTGCCGGTGGTAGTAAACGTGGAAGTACCGGTTGTTGTTCCGGTTGTTGTCCCTGTGGTCGTGAAAGTCGTCGTTCCGGTGGTTGTGAGGGTTGGGATGTTTAGGAGGGACAGGGTGGATGTGAAGGTGGATGTGGTGGAGGAGGTAAAGGTAGAGGTAAAGGTGGATGTGAATGTGGTGGTGATGGTGGATGTGAATGTTGACAGGCTTGTGCTTGAGGATAAGGCGTTATTTGTGGCTGTTGCCCCATACTGCCCTCCCGGGTTACCGGCTTCTTCTCTACCTTGTAACTGCTTTCGGTTCCTGTAAGCGGCGAGGCCGGTGGTTCTTGTGGTCGTGGAGGTGGCGCTGCCGGCTGTGGTGGTGGTAGTTGTGGTGGTGGTGGTGGTGGATGTTGCGGTGGTCCCGCCTGTTGTGCTGGTTACTGTTGAAGTGGCAGTTCTACCAAAGGAGGTTAGCAATGGTACGCTCACAGATCATTTCGGAGAAGCTTCTCACAACTTACACAGACTGGGTGAACGTGGCTTGGTATGTAGTACTGGTGAGGGTGACGCTGGTGACAGTGGTAGTCGACGCTGCCGAGGTCACAAAGGCGTTGATGTAACCTCTTTGAACACAAAAGTTATAGAAGGTGGAATCGATGTAGTTGATACACTGGGAATTAATGTTTGCTTGGTTCTGACAAGCGTACCAGTTGAAGACATTGCTGTTGCTGCAACCATTGTTGACATTGAGGGGGAACGATTGATCACAATGATGTGTGCCACCTCCGTGTAGTGCAAGACCAAGGACTGTGGGTAGAAGTTGGCCAACAATGGCCGCGGCGATGTAGAAGACCTTCATTTTGGCCTTGTTGTCACGATGTTGCTGGACTGGAGGTGTGGTGGCACGGAGAAATGGCTTGGATTGTGTGGTCAAGGAAAGGATGGGAGTAGGGGCTCTTTTGCTCTGGAGACAAGCTGATACGGATGAACCGGAGTTCCGCGGGGCAAAAGATTTGCTGGTGCATTATCTCTTGATGTAGCCTTGGTTGTTGTACCTCTAAAGGTAGGTATTCGGCATTGACTTGCTTCTTGGAAGTGGCGGCGGCATGGTCTGGGAAGCAAGACACCGACAGCGTGTTGGCGTTAATCACTCACGCACCATACCCTTGATTGTCCAACAGTAATTTCGATGATAAGGTAGGGCAAAAGAACATAACAAAGTAAATGGAAATTCCCAATCGTACCCCACAGCCGTATGAGCAAGGTAAACGACCATCAAGCATCCCAACCTCTGGTACATGCCCCGGTCACTGGACACTCTTTGACAGTCCTGATGGACGCTTGTCCCATGATACAATTTTGCCCCTTGTCAGCCAAAGCATGCGAGGTGTTGTTTCTGGCTTTGCTTTGCTCGAGTACCTGCCTGTAGGCATCAGGGTTCTCGGGCGATGACCGGCAGTATTGGCCCGGCAAAATGGACGCTGTCAGAGTCTGAAGCCCAATGACCAAACCATCAGACACAGCACGAACTTGTGCACAGATCCAAAATGTCAGCTCAATTGTTGATTCCCACTATTGTAACTCAACTCGTTGTTTAGGCCTTCTCTCCCTCTGGGAACCGCTCCGTGACCTTGACCCACAAGTTGGACTGGCAGACGATGTTGACGTTGAATTCGTGCCACGGGTTCTTGGGCTCGACGAGTTGGAGATCGAAGCGACGGAAAAACTATTTCAAGATTCCCTATGGTCAATATTAAATTACCAACGACAGAGACCGTACATGGACTTACCTCGACAAACACCTTGCTGAGCTCCATCAAGGCAACGGGCTTCCCCAAACACGCCCACCGGCCATAGCCAAACACCATCTCGGTGACCTGCTGCATCTCCAACCTTTTGGCCGGGGTGGCATTCAACCATCTCTCCGGGCGGAAGATCTCGGCGTCGTCACCAAAGACATCCTTCCTCCGGATCAGACCGCCGAAGTTTTGGCCGACGCGAGTGCCTTCGGGAATGAACATGCCGTTGATAGTGTCTCCGCCTTTGGGAGGCGATTTCATGCACAAGCCCGAGAAAGGCGGTTGCATGCGCAGTCCTTCGTAGATGCATGCCTAAGTCATAAATTGTTAGTGTATCCTTGCCGTTATCATCAAGGTTCTCATGCCCAAAACATACCTGCAAGTACTCCAACTGCTTCCCCTCCTCGGCTTTCACTGGACTAGAAACCTTCCCTTGTGCAATCGCCCTGTCAATCTCCTCCTGCAAGCGCACATACGCCATCTTGCTCGTCGCCAGGTGGAACATGGTCGACCTAATCGCCACCGTGGTAGTATCCGACCCAGCCCCAATCTGAAAAAGCACCTCGACCTCGCACGCCTGCTGATCAATGCCATGTCTGACAAAGCTGCCCAACATATCCTTCCTGTCCTCCGCCTTCTCGCCAAACCTGCGTGCCACAACCTCCCTCGCCACACCCATCACCCTTCCCATCCCGTCCTTGTCGCTATGCTTCGGCCCAAACAACGACAAGAACCACCCGCTCATAAAGATTTTCCTTAGTACAGGAATTTCCGCCAGCAGCCCGATAGCCGGCACCGTCCTTTTCACCGTGCTCATCCACCCGAACAGGTCCGAGTCCGTCTCCAGCCAGCCGAACTCTTTGCCATAAGCAATGCGCGTGATCACGTCTAGCGTAAAGAACTGCATCACAGTCGCTAGATCCATTTTTTTGAACACGCCCCGCTCGTCTTCCGAGATGTATCGCTCGCGGATGTGTCCGATTAATGTGGCGATGACCTCGTCAACGTCACTTTCCAAGCACGGGTTCTCGCGGCCCGAGTAGCCAAAGGACAGCCGGGACTTGAATACGTCGTGGACTTTGGTGTCGGGCTCGTCAAACAAAGAGCCGCCGCGCGGGTCGAGGGTCATGGCGCGGTACCAGTTCGATCGGCCCCAGGCGGAGCGGGCGCCGTTCATGTGCTTGATGACGGCTGGGTCATCGGTGATGAGGTCTGTTGGGCCGATGCGTACAAGGGTGGATTGGTATTCCTGGTTGAGGCGGCTGTAGCCGTCGGAGTGGTGGCCGGAGAACCATATTTTTAGCATGAAGAGGGGGGAGAACTGGGCGAGGATTGGACCGGGGAAGTGGGAGAGACGGCGGTAGGTGAGGATGGTGGAGATCAGGAGGTAGGCAACGAGGGAGAGACCCAAGATGGGCAGGGCATAGGGCCCTTGGGCGAGGGAGAGGAGTTCGGAGAGCATTTTCGGTGGTGTCTTGTGTGTTCAGAGCCAAGATGCTCAGACTGCTACGAAGTGACTGGAAGTAGGAGTGGGTCTGGCGACACGGACTCGACTTTTATACCATCATCTCATGGTGCACCATCTTCAAGGTAAGTTATACCCTTGACCTTTTTGTGCTTGCTTTCGACTAGGACGTTCCTGGACAATTGCCGTGCAAGTGTCCTCCAGATTCCCATCTTCATGATAGTGGATACTGGCGTGGTCCTCCCCGTCTACTCGTCCCTGCCGTCCCCTGCTAATGGTACCCTACGTGCAGTAACATCACGAACCGTCACATACGAAGAATCCTGGGGAGGCACCGATAACGGTTGACATATTGGACAACGATAATCATCGGTATTTGTTCCGTACCTCTACATTGTTTGACGTCTAGATAAAGTGCGGATGGATGACTGAGAACCCTTGCCGTCTTGAGTGACATCGAGAACTCTATATGCGTGCCGAGACGGGGAAAGAAGGAATGAAACCTCAAGACTCAAAATTATCGATGCACAACAGGACGGCACGTTCCCTCATGCGTGTCCATCATTACTTGAAATGACGATATCAGGAGCTTTCGGCATAACTTCCCATTGCAGACGCCCGGTCCTACCTACCCGTCCGTCTACGCATGGCCTTTCGTCCCCGGAGCACGGCATTACCTAGACAACCCGCCATCCTTCACGTTCATGGACCCCGAGTGTCTCACCAACGTTCTTCGAAGTATTCGCGCGACTCTAACCAATCACGAGCTCGAATATCACTGCAGCGTTTCAATATTGGTGCTGCACATCATGGATGCCAATACCGACCGACACTGACTGCACGGTGTCGATCTCTCCTGCCTCCCGGTCTGGATGACTCCTCCCGGTTAAACAACATCTGGTTATACAAACGCAACACCAAGTTGGGGTTCGTTCCTCGGCATAAGTCATGAAGAAATCCTTGATAACGGCAGTCATCGTCCTACGCACCTGAGGAGAGTATCTAAAGGGGATATTGAATCCGCATATCAACCGATCGATAGGTCCACACATCGCACAGCTTTGATCATGCGGGATTGCCTCACTCGGTAAGTCCTGATGCTTGCTGAACTACATCTTGCAAGATACGGCAGAGGTAAAAAAAAGCATGGTTGTAGGGAAAAAAGAAAAACAGAAAAAAAGAAATTATAGCAGAAAGGACGACGCCTATCAAATGCACCACTCTCTCACTCCCTTCACTCACGTTCATCCCGGCCTTGACAATTTGGAACATAGTTATGTTGGCCGCTCAAGCCTTGCTTGGAATTCGGCATCATACCACGGGAGCCTAGTCATTCGTTGCACGAACGAGATATGCATGGGCAGGTTTGAAAGAGGTAATGAATGAAGAAACAACAGCCAACCAACCAAAGTGTAAATAAAATCAAAGGTTGAACGAAGAAGTCTGGGATAACTCAATCCTCAACGATGGTGGTGGTCCGTCCCCCTCTCCTCTCTCTCTCTGTCTCTCTGTATACATGGATGCAGCATGCAACAACCAACTTCCGAACCAACTCGATCGACCACGAGGAGGAATCCAAGCTCAGAAGGGGAAAAAAAAAGGAAAAAAAGAAAAAGGATGTGTCCTGGAAAAAAGAAAAAGGATGTGTCCTGCCAGGAGTCGAACCTAGAACCTATTATGGTCCCGCATCGACCAGCTCACTCAGTAAGGTCACCAACACTATTACTAAGGTACCTACGTAGCTACGGTAGGTACGTTAGCTTAGGTAGTTTTGTGGGGGCTCACTTACCCACGTCAGCCAGTCCGCCGCGGAAACCTTAGGATGACCACTTTCCAGGACGACAGACTGACCACCAAGATGTGGTTATATACCCAAGAGCAGGTGCGCATGTGAACTGATTCCTTATCCACACTTCCACTTGTCGTTCACCACACGCGTGTCCTTGTCTCATTTATCCAACCCTGACGAGTAGCCCCCTCAACGAATTTTTGTTTTGTTTGTGAGACGAAAACTGAACTAGGTGCTGTAGCGAGGTGATGCACCTTTGATGGTCATTGGCATAATCGTGTCGATTGCTGATGCCCCTCGATACCTACCTTAACAGGAGTCATCATCAATCGCCCCCGTCATCGTCATCTTTTCCGTGTCTATCAAACCCCTTCTCCCTTCCTTATCAACCTTTATTATATGTACCTCCCAGCCCTTATCATTCCCACCACTCATCCTCATTATCCCACACGCCTTCGCCAACCTTAAAAATCCCCATCTTCCATCTTCCCGCCCTCTTCATTCTCCCTCTCCAAAAACCGAACCTTAACACCCGTCAACATACTCATAAAATACCTCTCCATATCTTTTTCCTCTGGCATATGTGTGACCTCAACCTTGAACTCCGCCACCAACCGGGGAACCACCTTCCAAACAATCAGCTCGGCCAAGTGCCGCCCGGGACAGGTGCGTGCGCCGCCGCCGTAGGTGAGGTTTATGTGGAGCATTTCTCTTAGTCTTTTGTGTTCCAGGTCTTCTGGGGTCGGCTGTTGACTGTCGTTGCCGGTAGAATCGGAGGTGGATCCGGAGTCGGCACCGGAGGTCGTACTTGATGGCCCAGAGTACATGTAGGACGACCTGGTGGAAGCCGATAGCCACCGGCTCGGGTTGTAGCTGTCGGCGTCGAGACCAAAGATCTCGGGGTTCCGATGCAACGCAACAGGATTACACCCCACCGTAGTTCCCGGCGGGATGTAGTGACCATGCATCGTGACACCCTCTCCTTGCGGAACAGTCCTCGAAAGACTCATTGCAATGACCGGGTGCAGTCTCTGCGCCTCCTTAATTGCCGCCAAGGTATACTTGAGCTCCTTGGCCGTCGCATCAAAGGGGACCGTCCTAGAGGCACTTCCACTCCCGCCATCCTGGCCCTGTTGTCCCCGAAGATAAGTCCCAACCTCCTCCGCAACCCTGTCCTGAACAGCCTCATGCATCCCAATCATACCCAAACAAGCCGTCAGCGCCGAACAAAGCGTCTCATGGCCCGCACCAAAGTTCGTCGTGGCCATTCGTCGGAGATAAGTCTCCGTGAACTGCTCCGGCTTAGCCTTGTGCAGCTGTATCAAGTCTTCCAACAAATCCTTTGGCCTCGCCACTTCCTTCTTAGGTGGCTTATTCTTCTTCTTGCTTGCCTTCGCCCTGGGATCTTTGGTCTCCCCTTTCAGCGCAGCCGCTATGCGCTTGGAAGACTTTTGGTAGACGGGAGTAAAGAACGGCTTAAAGTTCTTGGGCGTGGCGAAGGTGACGTTCCAGATGTTGGAGAACCATCTTGTTATGCCCTTGCCTATCCAGCTTCCCATCGCCCCTTCCAAGAATCCCAGTTTGGTGATGACAGGGAAGAGACCGAAGACGGACTTGCGCTTCCACCCCTGATACCCCTGCCTACTAGTTCCCCCATCACTTCCCGCCTTGATATACCCGGGACTCCAACCCAGCACCACAGCTCCCAAACATTCCACAGCAATGATATGCATCCACTCCTTCACATCAACCTCCTCCCCCTTTAACCCCTTTAACTTCGCGACAGCAGAGTCCAAAACTGCATCAATCTGCGGCTCAAACCTTTTGAGAGAAGAAAGTTGATAAACAGGCCCTATCAGCCTGCGCTGAGTTCTATACCTAGGCATATATCTTTCGGAAAGTAAGTCCAGCGTGTCGGCATGTTGCACCTCCACCCTTGGGGGGACGGGAGAAAATGAGAGGGATGGTTTGGTAAGCACCGTCGACAGATAAAAATCAGATTTTTCGAAACCGCTTCCTGCGCTGTAGATTACTTTGAAGGCGTCCCGGGCGTTGATCCAGAGTTCATCTGGCCCGACCCTAACTACCGGGCCGTACTTTTGGTGTAAAGTCTTGCCGAGGGTGTACATCCTGCCGGAGCGGGCGTGGTGGGCGTGCCAGATGTTGGAGAGGACGGCGAGGCGGGGACCGGGAATGGAGGATAGGGGGTGGAAGTAGAGGCGGTAGAGGGCGATGGTAACGATTGCGAGGAAGACGAGGAGGAGAAGTAATGCCATCGCCTTGATCAACATGATGAATGGGGCCATTAGGACGGCTTGGTATGTTGAGAGGGACATCTTCGTGAGTCTCGTGATGGTGGGAGTTGTTGGTGTTGGATGGATAAGTGGGTCTTGACTTATACAGTGATCCAATCGGGTATTAGCCAGTCGGTACCTTAGGAGTAACGATGGCTGCTCCCTTTGGACTTGAGCCTCCGATTGCTGTCCGTAAACTGTTCAGTCCCAGGTTACTTCTGTATGTCGAGAAGCGGTGCTTGTGTCAGATGAAAAATTCCTAGGCCGAAATGTGCATGTGCTAGTTCAGCCGACGTCCAGCATATTTTCTTGTGGTGGTGGTGGCGGTCCAAAGGCGGCGTTGGTGTGCTGTTGGTGTTCAGTGAAAAAAGCTGACGCCAACGGCAATTGGAAGAATTTTTGCTGAAACATCGACGGGGACAAAAATTTGGGTATCTTCAGGGTTAGGGCTATTGGTAGAGGTGTGCCTTGATGGACATGAGGATGTTCGTGACTATCACCGACTTCATCAAGAACAGATGGGAATGGATGTTTGAACCATATGTATTAGGCTAGCCTGCTAAGTAAAAGTAGTAAATCATCATACCAGAAACCGTCATTATCTGGCCGAGGCCTGCTTTCTCCTCCAACCGTCTTCCACGGAAATGCTTACTGAGGAGGTCCAAGGCTGAGAACATCCAATCCATCCTTCAACTGTGACTTGCTCGGCATCTTGTTAAGCTGCATCATTTGAGCACACTGAGCCATGACTGGATCCTTGCCCATACTAGCCATGGCCACAACCGTCTCGCCCTTGGCGTAATAAGCCACCCATTTGCCCTGGTCCGGCTCACCCTGGAGAACAAGATCATCCCATCCATGGTACGAGTTTCCGCAGTACCGCAGCTGAGCACCAAGAGCACTCCAGAACACCGGGGTGAAGAACTCGGACTGGAGGTTGGGGTGGACGATATGGTTGGCTACCGTACGACCAGCGTTCTGAGCAACGTTGTAATGTTCAATGCGGACATACTTGCCATCACCACCGGGACCATGGTAGGGGTAAGAAGCAATGTCGCCAATGGCGTAAACGTCCTTGAGTCCAACGACCGAAAAGTTCTCGTCAACCTTCAAGCTACCGTCGTCCTCAAGACGGACAACACTATTTTCCTTGAGGTACTCGGTAGCTGGAGAAACGCCGACGCCCAAAATGACGATATCGGCGTCAAGCTTGGTTCCGTCCTTGAGGTGGACTGAGCCGACCTTGGAGGGGTCGCTTGTTGATGGCTCGGCCTTTTCGACGCCAGCCGACATGTAGAACTTGACACCCTTGGCCTCGATGTTCTTCTTGACCAGGGCGCCCACCTTCTCACCGAGTACCCTCTCCAAAGGCTCCTTCTCCATTCCAATGATGGTCACGTCGTTTCCGTCGGACGTGCAACCAGCGAGCTCCATGCCGATGAAGGAGGAACCAATAATGACAATCTTCTTGCCCTTCTCCCCAATGGCCTTGCTGATGTTCTCGGCGTCGCGGACATTGCGCAAAGTGAAGACGTTATCCAAGACTTGGAAGCCCTGAAGAGGCAGAAGCTTGGGGGTGCCGCCGGTGGCAAGGACCAGTCGAGAGTAGGGGTATTGTTGACCGGACTTGGTCTTGACCGTCTTTCCGCCAAAGTCGACGCCAACCACCTCGTCCTGGACAATGTCGATGTCTCCGCTCTTGAACCATTCGGCATCACGCCATTGTAGCTTGTTGAGGTCGGTCATGAGTGTCTTGCTGAGCTTGGGGCGGTCAATGGGCAGGTACCCTTCGTTGGTAATCATGGTGACGGGGCCTGCGAAACCGAGCTCGCGCAAGCCTTCAACGGCGCCCAAGGCACCGGAGCCACCACCGACAATGACCACCTTGTCGGACAGAGGAGCTCCGGCGACCTTGCACTTGAACTTGGGCTTGCGGTTGCCGGCCTTGATGGTCTCGGCATCACCAGTGATGTATACAGCGCCGTCGCGTTCGGTGGCCTTGAAGACGGGGAGAGCGTTCAGCGCGGGGGCGTTTTCGATATCGCCGGTCGTGGTGTTGAAGCAAGCTCCGTGCCATGGGCAGGTCAGCTTTCCGTTGTGGCCGAGAACGCCCTTGACCAAGGGAGCACTAGATTCGCAGTCGCATTAGTTTTGGGTCTCTGACAACGGGGGCGCATGGCAGTATGTGTCTCCGGTAGCATACCCGTAGTGAGTGCATCGTGGACCGATAGCCTGTGTCTTGCCGGCAGCATTGAGGAGGAGGACCTTTGCGTCCAGGCCCTCGACCTCGACCTCATGCTTCTCGCCTGGTTGGAGGTCGAGAGAGGTGATTCCCTTGAGCTTGTATTCTTGCGCCATTGTGATTTGTGGTGTGGACGAGAAGAGGCGAATGGTTTGGGACTGTGTTGTCGTCGTCGGATTGCGCAAAGGAGAGGAGAATCGGGTTGGGAGGAGTTGTCGGTGGCAGGCCGTTGAGAGGGGTCGAGAGAGGGGTCGGGAGAGACGCGGCAGTGCAATCATGTCATCCGATGGCTGCAGTACAGAAGAAGAGGGTTAAAGGGGAAGAAGAGGGTTCAGATAGACTGGCAAGACTGGTACGATATGGGACGGATCAATGAAAGGGTGTAATCGAGAAAACATGATTGGTGCCTTCGCTGCTTTTGTGTGCTGAGCTTGTGGAAGTCCCGGTGTGGGAAGCACCGAGCTCACAGAGGTGCTGGGAGGAAGGAGAGGTAGCTAACGGAAGATACCTCGACATGTACCTTGATGGCTACTCAGGATTTACGAGCGGATGTGCAAATGCTCACATAGGCCAGCATGTCTCGACTCATAAAGTGCTGGGAACCTCAAGATGAGACCATAGACTATCAATGCCATCCACGTCCACGCTCTTGATTATTGAGTGTCTTCTCCAGAGTCGTTTTTATGCAGAGGTGGTGGTTGTCTTTTGTCATTCATGTCTTCTGGGAACAGGCCTGCTCAAGGTACTACTTGTTAGAGGCTAGAGGTAGCTCCCGGTCTTAGCGCTGAAGCTCCCGTCTGCGGGGCACTCCACCAGTTCCAGTTGATGCCGTCATTGCAGTGGATAGCACAACGGTGCAATCGAAGCATTCTCATTGGTTCAATTAATTTTCTGTCGCGACCATCCTGTTCAACATCGCGACTTCCATTTTCGACATGCAAACGAAGCACTTGCGCTGGAGTCGGGAGGCGCCTTCCTTCCAATCTCTGCCTTCGTGCTCAATCCATCGTGACTGTGAAAATTCTTTCTGCTCGGAATCCTCCACAACGGCTTCTTCTTCCAATTTTCCCATCTTTTCCTGCGCCATTGGATTCCCGTGTCTAGTCACTCCCATTCCAATGCCCTCATAAATCACCTCCACTTGGAACTCCAACCCACCCATTGCCTCTCCTGCCTTTCCCCATGCCCAATATTCATTACGGTAACTCTCACAATTGTGAGTTTTTTCATCCAAATCTGTGATTGAACAGCATTTTCTGACAAACAATCTTAGGTCTCGCGATTCCAGCGATGCAGTGTTACTGGCCAGGACATCGTCATAAAATACACATGTTGATATTGTCACGAAGTTCCAGAATTGAACATGGTTTCCACCACAGCCATGTCAGCAACATAAGCGCCGTCTTCTTCCGCAGCTCCAACATATACAATACAAGATCCAGACTATCGCCACCCACAAATCGAGGAACACCCATCAAAGCTTGCTCCCCTTGTCCTGCCTCTTGGCCAACTCCCGCAAGTCTTTGCGCAAAATCTTCCCACTCGGGCTCTTGGGTATGGCATCAATAAACACCACTCCTCCTCGAAGCTTCTTGTGGTTGGCTACTTTGCTGGCAACCCAGTCCATGATCTCCTCGGCCTTGAGATTCGCATCGCCAGCTACGACATACGCGCTGTTTCATTTGATGTTAGCTTACAGTATTCGCCATCACGTCCGACACTGACGAGACACTTACCGAGGCACTTCAGTGCCTTCTCCTTCCACACCAATCACTGCCGCATCGGCAATCCTGGGATGACTGACCAACAGCGCCTCAAGCTCGGCCGGGGCCACCTGGAGCGCCTTGTACTTGATGAGTTCCTGAAACATCTGTTAGTCGATGGCCATTAACGCAAACAAACAGCAAACCAAGATCACTCACCTTCTTCCGATCGACAATATAAAACTTGCCGTCCTTAAAGAGCCCGATATCGCCAGTGCAGAACCACCCATCCACAAAGGCCTCTTTGTTGGCGCCATCGTTCTTATAATACCCCTTCGTCACATTCGGTCCCCTGACCCAAAGCTCGCCAGCTTGTCCTGGTTCCACATCCTTGCCGTCATCGTCAACAATGCGTGCCTGGCCATTCATCACCAACATTGACACACTCCCCGTTTCATCGTCAATCCCACGTGGCATTGCTGTCATTGAGCCCGTGGTTTCGCTCAAGCCCCACGTTTGACTAAGTTGCGCCTTGCCCTTCCCAAGCTTCTTCTGAGCTGCTAGTTGAAGCTCCTTTCCCATGGGGGCTGCCCCCGTCACAGCTGTCTCAAGCGAGTCAAACTGATCTGTCACCAGAGGGCTTTTGGCAATGGCCAAGTAAATGGGTGGTACTGAGAAGAAGGTTGTGATCTTGTACTTCTTGTTGTACTCGAGAAACTTGACAAAGTCAAATCGAGGCATCCAGTACAAGGTTCCGCCCAGGTAGAAGCTGTTGACAAAGTAACCCTGGACACCCGCAATGGTGCCGCCGGCAAGTGGGCAATGGACCGGTAGTCCTTCGCGATATCCCGTCCCCTTTTCTTCTCATACTCCCGAATCGGATCAAGCACGAGACAGGCCTCGCTTACCAGGTTGGTATGCGAGAGCCTACACATCTTGGGTAGACCAGTGGTCCCGCTCGAGAAGAGAACACAGGCGATGCTGTTTTCGAGGGCTGCTGTGTCCGTAATAAGTTGCCAATCCAGGGTCTTGGTCGAGATGGGAATCGGTGTCGATTGGTCCAAGTCGGCGAGTTCAAGGTGCGGCTGTGATTTCAGAACAAGAACTCGAGAGCCTGGAATCTTGGCCAGTTTGGCCGCAGCTGCAGCAATATCCTTGGTGTCTTCATTGCACATGATGAGCTTTGCGCCGATCTGCTTAGCCTGCCCAGCGAACTCGCTAGCGGTGGATGACGGACTAGATGATGAAAAGATGCCACCAGCTGCGAGGGTCGAATAGAACAAACACGGTAACAAGAAGTGGCCCGAAGAGATACACAACACCACGTCTTTCTCCGGCCCGTCTTGACCAATGCCGTACCGTTGACGAAGAGTATAAGCCAGGCGCTTGACTAAAGTCCGAAGCTGGGCTTTAGTGATCGCCTTGCTGGGATCCGCAGCGTCGGCATGGATCACTGTATCTTCCTTCGCTCCGCATGCTGGTGAGTCTACCAAGGCGTCAGTAAGGCTCAAATAATCTTGCTCAGAACGAAATCTGAGCCAGCACCGTCCCTCCAAGGGGGAATGTTACCAAAGAGGAGAGACAACAAGTCAAGCTGGGGGAAGTCTCGCTGCTGCGGACTCTTGTAGATGATGCCGGAAGGTGTCCTCTCCACGATTGTCGTCATGATGTTTACCGTTTCGTTGCTTTTTTTCCGAAAACAACAAGGGCAAACTCCAGCACTTGAAATATGGTCCTCCAAAGAGCAATGTCTTATATCTGAGGGACGTTACGCAGCGCCTTGCTTACCCCGCGCAGACACCGCAAGAATAGAAAGGAAGTCGCCGGCCGGCCATGTGTCTATCCCTGCCTGCGCTTTACCCTTTTCGATGAAAGGGGCGTTGTTTTGGACGACTTGACAGCTTGTCGATCTTCAAGGCGGCAAATGAGAGGCCATCCCAACAATGTCTTTCCCCGCATATTGGGGTCACAGCACAAGCATTTCAGCCAACCTCGGCACCCCTGGATTTGAGTTTCGACCGTTCTTTTTCATTCTTTGCTAGCTACAATATGAGTGCGACATAGTTTTGGTGCCAATACTCCGAGTCCTTGAGCGACCATGTTATCTCAGCCACATGCCACAAATTGACCGCCCTTCAGCTTTCCGCGGTGCAACTATACCTAAGCTACCCCTGATCGTCATCCGAACGCCTAGTACCCCACTATCAACCACAAGTCGTTTACCATTGATCGGGATCCGCATCCGCAAAAGTGTCGCCGATGGCAATCTCATCAAACCAAACTTGACGGAAGGGCTGAGTGCCAGCATAGCCGGAATCGTACCAAGCATTGGCGTAGAGACCGACACGGAACTGGAACCTCACGTCGGTGTCGAGAGTCGTCTTGATGTCGCGCTGCTCGACGACCTTGGTACCATCATACCAGAGCTTGAAGTAGCCGGTGCTATCGCTCCTCCACTTGACCTGCATCACAATCTTGTGCCAGACGCCGCCGGTGACGTCAATGCCGGTGTCGAAAGAAGTGGTCTGGGGAGAGCAGAGCGTGCCACTCTTGACTCTGGTCATGAGGCGGTTTCCCTTGACCCAGATCATGCTGGTGGGCGACCACTCATCGCAGCTGCTGGAGCCAAAGTTGCCGATGAACTGGGCAATGTTGTAGGACTGCGCGGGACTTGACTGCCAGTCGCCCTGTAGGCGGAACACGAAGCCATAGAAGCGCGTCTCACCCCGGGCGTACCCGTTGAGAGTCCGCACTTCAGCATGGTAGCGGCCAGAGTATGACGAGTCGTATGTCTGCTCGAACTTGAGAGCGGTGCCTCCCTCGTAGACCAAGTTGGTTACTTCGGAGATCTTGCCCTTGTTTTCGGTCTGTTGGCCATCCCAGCCGCTGAGGGTACCGTGATTGCTGAAGATCTGAGCTCCCTGGACGATAGGTGCCACAGCCGCGAGCGCGGCGATGAGCATATGCCGGATACCCATGTTGCTTTCAAGAGGAGAGAGCGGTCGGTATACAAAAGAGGAAGTGAAGTTGGATGCTCAAGAAAGCCTTTCTACTCTTACGGTCGTCTCATGGTCGAGTCTTATACCTTTTCGCAGCATGTCAGGAGCGGGGAAACTTCCCGCTGGATGGAGACATCAGTTTCAGTCCTTTCGGGGCTATTGATGTTTGCGGCTTGGACTGATGCTCAAGAGGTCCCCATCATGATCCTTCATATCTCCGCCGCAAGCACATGAGTAAGACCCTTTCGCGGCAATCCAATCGGGGCCTTCCCACATTGGGTGCCTGGGCGGGGCGTCGATGGCGTCGCCATTGCTTACTAAGGTCAAATGGGTAGGTGGTATCAACAACCTCGCCATCTGGTCAAGGGTTTTTCTATGATCTGGCGGATACTGACGACGGTGATCTGCAGTAGCCTCAACGTCCGACGCCCGCGGCTCTCTATGTCCTCCTTCTCAAGCACACACCGCTCCAGTTTTGGTTTTTTTTTACATATGATTGCTGCATTCATCAGCTCATGCAGATGCGCATCTCGTGTTCCTTCAACGCCAGAAGTCTTGGGAGTATCCTCATCATGGGGATGCTCTCACGATGCCTCCACATTTTGCTTACCTTACCCTGCTAGCGTACGGCCCCCAGTCAAGTCGCTGCATCGTCGACAAATCACAAGTCTTCAACAAATGTCCCAGTTGCATCAGTACAGGCGATTGTTCATCGTTCGCTTAGAAAACGGATACTGCTGCAAACAAAGCACCATCGCGGAGACACATAAGGTTCAGTCTTTTCAGTCCCGGCATGCGGGTTGAATGTTGTCCTCATTCCTACGAAGATTAGGATTGTATTCAAGACATCATAACGAGAAGTAGTTCCCGCCTGATACCGACCTGTGATATTGCACCTGTCCTATCACGGATCCCTAACACTCGACAAAGTTTCAAAGCCCAGACACCATTCCGAGTCCAACGCGGGACTCAGCATCCATCATCAAAAGCTCAATCAAGGGACATGCTCCCTGACGTCAGTTGAGCCGCCCTGATGTTTCTCGGTGGTGCTTCGCCTCCCCAGGCCAGTGGTGTCGTGTTCGTCGTGGTTGACCACCTTCTCGGCAGCCGCATTGGCTTGGTTCTGAAGTTCCTTACCCTCGAACATGAAGGTAAGCTCTTCGAGCGTGCGACCCATGGTCTCGGGGAACATGAAGTACACGAAGACGACCTCAAATGCGAGCCAGCAGCAATACGAGATGAGGTACTTCCAGCCAACGTCCTTGAGACCGATGGGGTTGACGAAGGTTGTGAAGAAACTAGCCAGACGACCAAACAGCTGGAAGATGGCGATACCACGAGAGCGCTCGGCATAGGGCCACATTTCCACCATGTAGGCTGGTTCGAGTCAGTGATATTGATCTCCGAACAGGGCATGATGAGGTTCGACTTACTGTAGGTCAGGGCGTTATAACCCATGTTATAGCAAGGCGAATACACGTAAATGAAGACGAGGGTAGCGATGTTGGCCGCGTTGTTGGGCTTCCCAATCGCCTTGCCAAGCATGGCTCGCTCCATGGAGATGGTCCACGCGATATAACACAGCAGCAAGCTGATGGTGCAGGCCATGTACATGACACGACGTCTGATACGGGTGACGAGGAGCGAGACGGTCACACCGCAGACCAAACTCCAGCAGGCGATGGAAACGTTGATCTTCTGGATAAATGTCGACTCCGTATAGCCAATCATCTTGAGGAGATCGCTGAGGAAGTAGGAGATGAGGGTATTGCCGGACCACTGGGTGAAAAGACCGAGCATCGAGGAGATAAGAAGACGCTTGCGCATACCGGTGGTCCTCAAGAGATCCATCCACGAGCTCTTGGACACGACCTCATATTCAAGACGGATAACGGCTTGCATCTGAGCGAACTCGGCGGCAACAAACTCCTCACCGCGGGCCATCTCTCCATGGTACTTCTTCAGGATATCGTGAGCTTCTTGAGAGCGGTCCTTGGTGATTAGCCAGCGGGGACTTTCTGGGATAAAACTGCGCAAAGGGGTTTCAAGTCAGCGAGCTCGTTCCTTCACAAACACGATCGGAAGATTCCATAAGAACTTTGATGTGGTACGCACAAGACGAAACCAAGCTGAAGCAGCGAAGGGCAAACTTGGAGAAGCGATGGAATTCTCCAGCCCCAGTTGGTCGTAATGCTGTTGGTTCCGAAGACGATGCCGGCAGCAACAATTTGGCCGATGAAATATGATACGTTAAAGAGCGAGGTCAAGATAGGACGCTCCTTCGGGTAGGCAAGTTCGCCGATAAGGGACGAGCCGGAGACGATGCAAGTGGGGATTCCGAAGCCGAGAATCATACGGGCGATGATGTACATGGCGACTATTGACGGGTGGTGTGTCAGAGGGATTCAGAGTCTGGTCGGTAGCTGTCAAGGAGGAGATGCCTACCGTGTTGGGAGAAGCCCTGAATGATGGCGCCCACAACCATGGTCATTGAACCAAGAGCAATGGACCATCTTCGGCCAAACCTATCGTTGACGATGGGCACCAGGGGAAGGGACAAAATGGCACCAAGAGAGTATGCTGCGCTGATAATGCCCTTGAGGGCTCCTTGGGGACGGCCGAAATCTGAGATAAAGGTCGGTTAGCCGCCACAACACAACACCACGCCCCGCCCCTCAAGCCATGGACCGGGCTGACAGGCCAACCCACGAGGGCAAGATGAAAAGTCCAGGTAAACTTACAGTCGTCCCATGGTTTCAAAATCTGGAGGGCGTTGATCATCTGGGAATCGAATCCCGACGTCAACTCGATGCCCATACATGTCGGGAAGAGCATGAAGTAGAGGAACCGAAGGTTGGGCTTCTTGTACCATGGGATCGGGTCCTCTCTTGCGAGGCGAGAGATGACGGGGTCGGAAAGCCCAACGTCAGACGCACCTGCACCACCCATCTTGTTGAGATTTTGTTGATGCCGGTTCGAGGTGTGAGGGTTTGCCAAAGGGTTGGCGGATGGGTTGGGAAAAGCAAGAGAGCAAAGGCAAAGGCGCAGAAGTCGGGCGCGGGAACGGGCACGTCTATAAACTGCACCGAAGAACCATGAACCGAACCAGTTTCCTGGATTCACTACGCTGGTTCAGTTATAGAGCACCAGGTGATAGGTTGCGACTCCGCGCGCGAACCCTGCAATATCGAACCGTCCTCCGGAGGATTACCCCATTACCTCATTGCTTGGGAGTTTGGGAGGTTTGGGAGGTTGTACCTACCACGAACGGATCACCGTATCCTTCCACTTGGGGGCACACCACACCTCGTTCGTTCGTGCGGGGAGAGAAGAAAGACATCAGGCATGCCGACTGCCCTGCCGGTGGAGAAACCGACATGCTTGCTGCATCCTAGATCAGGCTTAATGTGACGATGCCAACAAGCCTCTTTCTGGACAACTCGGAACCGCTATTCGAGTTGGCGACGAGGAGTGACACTCAAAATCCTCCAGTCATGATGGTTGTTCCCCCACACACCAAGTCTTTCCCCAACCTTACTCTAACCTCTTCCGTGCTGTCGCGTTTGTCAAAGGTATGTGGGAATACCGGGGGAACTCCATTATTGGGATGACAGCCTAGCCATCCCCGGTCGAAGACTCGAGGATGACCAACGAGACGTTGCGCCGGTCGTCTTTACCCCATGATTCAAGATGGAGTTCGCCCGCCGCCAGTTCTGGGGTAACGTCCTGTTTTGCATGTACCGAACGCTTGGCATCCCATGGAGGTCTGGGGTAGGACGGGGGTGGGAAAAGCAAGAAGGTTGGCGGCCGAGCCAGCGGATTGGATGGACGGCAGACAAAGGTGGGTGTCCCCCAGTCTTCCCCGGATAAATACCACATACCAAGCCGGGATAGAGGCTATTTCGTCCGTTAGCGTCCTCCCTCTGAACTGTTGATCACCACCCTGGTATCTCGAATCCGATCGGACTTTGCTTAGTTGCTGCCACATGCGAGCCAATGCGGTTCATGAAACGGGCGAAACTGGCAAGACTCGTGAGGGCCAAGAAGGGGAGCCTGGGGAGCTAGGAGCCAAGGTCAATAGGTTGGAAATCCCATTTTTATCCTGTCAGTATTTAGTATCTTTTTTTGTCGGGGCCATGGATCAAAATCAAAAACCCATGTGGCGAGAAGAAAAAGAAGAAGGAATGATCAGCAGAGGACGGTGAGACGGACGGCAGGCTATCAATCCAGAAGAACCCGACTGATCTGGATGGCAAGATGGTTTGACAGGAATAATGTCTCGGTCCTGCGGGCGTCTCAGACTTCCAGAGTCGATCATTCGGAATGCGGTTCCACGCAGAAAAGCTTGTCTGGTTTCTTGTCTTGTCTTTGCTCTTGCGGGAAGTAAGCTGACAGTCTGACAGGCACACACACACATCACGAATGGTTCTTGGTAGGCATGGTATCTAAGATAGGTGAGAAATGGGAATCGTAACTGGCTTATATGACTTGCCAAGTCTCGATTCTATCCCGAATCCCCCGTTGCAAGTCCAGCCACAGACAACCTTTGGCTGTTCTTGGCTTCCTCTTACTATGTATCAGTGTATACACAATACTACCACGCCGCTCTTCGGCATCTTAACCGCTACTAGTTGCATGTTCCCCCAACTCCAAGCAAATGCCCTCCCCACCCCCATCTTTTGTGCCTGATCTGGTGTTTCTCCGCATTTTGTTCACCAATTTCAGAGTTCAGACTGTACTGAAAATGGACTGACTGCCGGGACCGACGTTGGTGGTCTTTCTTTGGCTTGGATTGTGACCCTTTGCCCCGGGACCGAAGACGAAGAAGAAAACGGGGGAAATGCTGTGGTGACATGGAGTGGTCTGCAGGAAGCTCACAATGAAGTGATGAGTGATGAGTGATGAGTGGTGGTTCGTTCGACTTTGCCAAGAGGCTCAACCGCTGCAACCGCTTCAACGGTGATTAACTTCCCATCCCTTTTTATGCTTCCTGCGAGCCGTGCTGCCCTTCCTCACCTTGCACCTGGCACCTGGCACCTGGCACCTGGAAGAGGTAGATGGATGGATGAGCAATTTAACAATAGCAACGGATAATATGGGTTTCATTTGTAGCGACAATGCTATTGCATGCCCGCCCGCCCCCCAATGTCAGTCAGTTGGTCCTGCTGACTGGATCGAACTGAGCGAGCCCGAAGCTCGAAGTTGGAACCCAAGAATTGGGGTCCGGAACTGGGGGACGGAACCGGATGCAAGTTGCGAATTAAGCGTGCTGTAGCTCGACAGGAAGATCTTTGCTGTCATGGATGATCGGACAAAGTCGAGCTGCTAACCAAACTGATTAGATGGAACTGCGGCTTGAGATTATGTTTCACGACAGAAAGCACCAAGTTCGACAACTTTGACCTGAAATACTCAGCTATCCTAGATTGGGCTGGCTCTCACATGGACTCATGGAGGTCCAGTGAAGTCGGCATCTACCTACCTAACCCAGCTCTCTGCTTTAGTTGCGATGTGAGTTTATCACCGCAGTCACCAGCTACCAGTGGACCACTCTAGAGTCATGATGATCCCATTTCATCACCTCCAGGATGTCTAGAATCTAGAGTCTGCCATGACTCTCAGTCCACGCAGTTCCTGACTGAAGTATGGCGTCCAAGTGGGACAAAACTTCTTTCGAGCCGCCAACATATCACGGAGGTCACAAGGAAGCAGGGCTTCCAATAGTTGCCCCAGGTTGCTCCCAAAACCACACCCAACACGAAACAAAACTTCCCGCTAGTGGTAGTCGACTTCAAATCCGAGGACAGCTTGGCAAGTCCGAGGACCAAGACAGTCTCGGTCTCTTTTCCGACAAAAGGAAAGAAGACAGCGAAGCAAATGGGTATTGTTCGCATTCGTACAGCGTTCTTTTTGGGCATGATCCATCATCAACTTCGCATCATCAATCAACGCCGCGCCAAAAAAGACGGAAGAAAATGCTCAACGAAGCGACAAGCGAAAAGTTACGAAAGACTGTTTTGGTTGATGATCGGCATTTGTTACATCCTGAAGGTTTTGGGTTCCCGTGGCGGCTGTCTGGCGGTGGTAGGTATATAACTGGGGTGGTACGTAACTGTGGTGATAATCTGGCTGGGGTTAGCGGTGGCCGGGTGGTCGGGTTAGGTTAGATCCGGGGTCAGGGTGGGTGCCGAGGCAGCAGTTTACCACCGGCGGTAATGCGGTAAGCTTCCACTGAGTTCGAATATGGCTAGCCCAACCTCTACCTACCTACTACCTAGAACTAGTGAGGTAACGGAGCTGCGGAGGTAACGTAAGTATGTAACGGGAGGTTGCGAGTGTGGTCCCTGTTCCTGAACATCATTTTTGCTCTCTGTCGAACAGAGAACTTGGTTCAGGCTTTCCCGGTCTCCGGCTGCTTAGAGCGGCACTGGGACGGCTGAGATGGCTGGCGCTGGAGTTGGAGGTCTGGGATGGTTGGTGATGGTTAATTGATGGTCAAGTGATGGGATGAGCTGTTCTGCTGATTCAGTCTGCATGCTTTTGGATTTGATGGTAGATACGGTACTCTACCGAAAGAGTTGTGAAATCAAACCGAACATATTCCCGCCAGTACACGATTCATCCTAGCGTCTTCCTCATTCTTTTACATCGGCTTTAACATTATTCCTACCTAGGTAGGCATTGTCTGAGTGGGACACTTCCCTTGGACTCTCTTCACTTATATTTCCAGTTTTGCGACGGCGTGTCCTACCTTGGGTGTAGCCAAAGCGAGCCGTGATGGACTGTCTAGCGTCTGCCCATGTTCGGGTATCAACATCAGACCTGTTCTGGACCCCATCTTATTTCTTATTCAATTCATCTACCTGCTCGCCTGTTCGCCTCCGTCTCGTCTACATCTTGTTGACCATCGTATCGTCTTCATCTTGTTGGTCATCAATCGTCCAGCCCAGTTGGTGCCCGTTCGGACTCGATATAATGCTGCTTAGAGGTACCACAAGTTGCACAAGATCAGCGTTAAAACACCAATCACCAACGGTTCTTTGCTACTCTTAAAAAAGCAGCAGCTTGGTGTCATACCGCGCTGTGTGGTACAGACAAATGAAGACACTCGTCACAGTTCACTGTCTGTCACAGGCACGACAGATGGCAGTATACGACCGTATACGGCAGTTATATGAACTCCAAAGAACGTAGCAACAATATTGAGACTTCCGTTCCAGCGGTTTGGGACCAGATATTAACTCCCGCCCCTTCTTTTTTTGCTTCGTCGCACCCTTCTATCCCCTTCACACATACCTGTACTGATATTGGGCTGAGAAGCAATGACTGCAGCAGACACACGGGTACACCTATGCACGTCTCGTTTATTTTGACCTCTGTTGTAACTCCAACCACCAACCCAAACGATGAAACGATAATTTTTGGGAGCCAAGTGAATGGAAGCCAAGAAGGATTGATCTACCTCTACCGACCTACAGCAAACCATGCTGAGAAGTGCAGCCGATGATTTGCTGCGCAGGAGTTTGTTGAAGGGGGGGAGGGCCAAGGGAATTTCATCAAATGTTGGTTCGGGACCAAAGGCCGGGAATTAGAGAAATTACCGATGATGGACGTAGTTGGACGGGTGATGGGGGACTGACATCTACGACACCTTTGGCCCGACTTGCCCCCTCCAGCTTCGGTTACGACCATTTGAAGGTCATATTACGCCTTGAACGGAGGCAGTATCGAATATTCGGATGTATTGAGATCAACGCAATACATCTCCTCCAGACCAAAAGCACGATATTTCGACCTAACGGCACTCGGAGAATGAACCAGTCTCGCCCACTTCAGCTAAAAAGTTGTTAACAGAGGGCCAAGAGATTTTCATCAACCGTTGGTTCACCACCAGAGTTCGGAAGCCAGTAAAATCGCCGGTCAAATATGTCGCCGGTGAGGGATGGGTACCGTAACAAACACGTGAGTCTAGACTAGGTACCTACCTCTACCCACTTACCTCTACCTCTGCCCACCCACTTCACCAAGCAATGCAATCCGCGCCTGAGCTCTGAAGACTGATACGACAGAGAGAGTAAACTACCTCTACTGATAGACAGCAACGGTGTATTATCATGCCTGCCTCCCACCCGTACTAACGTTATCACGGCTGTTCTAGGTCCATGGTCAATCACGAAAGGAATTTGAATGTGTGTCCAATACGTGTCGTGTGGTCAAGGACGAGGGATGGGCGATTGGCACGTGAGTCTCTCCCAACCTCCGGTTTCGCCTTGATTTGTCCAGCTTTGCATTTATCGGAGAGCTAGAGAGCGAGATGATGACTGACTTACCTTTCAGGGTAGTACAGGACTAGTATCCGGGCCTTCTCACTAGGTACCCATCATCTGTCCAGTCCGTAAGGCATTTTAGCAATAATGCCGTCGCGTTCGAGAGGCAGCTTATTGGTCGTGCGATGGTAAATGTGGTGGTATATGAACAAAAGAACGGGCTGGAACTCTACAAAGAAAACTGTCAATCCTGCTCTAGAGGTACTTTGTTTTTCATCCTCGTTTTTCTTTCCGTCTCTAGACATTTCCCTTCATAATGCCTCTTTCGAACTTTTCGTCTCCAGGACTTGTCGTCTTTTAAGCGAAGCTCTTGTCTTCCCGAATGTTTCTTTCTTTAAACATCTAATCTTCCTGATCTCGTCCTCTCGTTTCTCCCCATTCGTCGCCTGCTTTTGTCATTAACAAGAGCTGGTGTCCTACTTCAAGCATGCCGCACCGAACCCTTTCCATCTCTTGTGCTTTGAACGTTATCACTTCACCACCTCGCCGTCCTAGCAGGATAAGCAGGCATATCACTTGCATGCCCTCCATTCCCCCTATCAAACCAACCAGGGCCATGTGTCTCAACAGTCATCGTCACTTCTTGCGTCCTCATAATCGTTCCAGCCGGAGTGGGAGCAGGCCCTGTCCCATTCCCACTGAGCACCATCCCCGTCACCGTCGCAGCTGAGGACCGTGACCGATCAATTCCACTAGCCTTCTGCCCTTGTCCCGTCTCTTTCAAAGCTAAAATACTCTCCTGACTCTCCGCCTTGGAAAGGTTATGACTATACCCACTATCATCTCCCACCCCAGTAGCGGAGCAAGTATCCGACTCGGCCGGCGCGACAACAGTCGTAAGAAGATCATCGTCCGGGTCTATTTTCGACCTCACTTGTGTGTTGGTTTTGAGCTTGTTGCCGCTGACGGCTTGCATTTCCACGTCGCCGGACTTGGACAGTTGCTTGTGGTAGCCGTCGCGGGTGGTGTGACGGCCGTAACCACTCTTGTAACCACCTGATTGGGGAGTGCTGCAGAGGGTGCGTCGGCCCATGATAACGTCGAGGAGGGGTTGGAGAAGGGGGATGCAGGAAGCTATGATTATGGTGCTGCCTTCGATGCTGTGAGGGATTGGTGGTTAGCGAAGCGGACGGGAGGGATGGGAGGACGAGGGTTAGATGGGAGAGAGGTAGGATGGGTACTCGTCTGGGCTATAAGCTCCTCATTGGGGCTGGAGGCACTTCTAACCCAGAGAAGCAGCACAAGTAAGGGCAAGACATGCATGTAAGGAACAGTCAGTGAGGCTCGTGGTGGAAGCTTACAGTGACCAAATAACCAGATCGGTGGTATCCCAAGAGAAATCAGGCCTGGCAAGAGAGGGCAAACGAGTGGATTTGTAGATGGATACGATTGCCGAGACGGATCCAATGCCTAAAGCGAAGCAGAGAGCGATCTTCTTCTTGTTGTTGATCTGCAGCTTGAAGAGAACGATGGTGGGGTATACTGCGAGGTAGAGATCGGTAAAGGCGGAGAAACCTGCACGGCGGGGTGGGAAAGGTGAGTTAGCCTTCCGTTGCCTCTTGTTTTGCTGTCCGTCGAATTGGAAGACATGACAATCGTAACTTACATCCAGCAACCATCGAATACCTAACCAACAACCACGGGCTCCAGCGCGAAGTGGGGGTAATGGAGAAGTCCCATTGCGCATAAGTAGGCGTGCACTGCGCAAACAAGATGATGGCGCAACCAAGGATAGCCACCTGGCAAGTGGCAACCAGCGCCCACAGAAAAATACGGTGCCACCGGCTCGGGTTCAGCAGCCTCGTCAGCAGAGACACGACAGCGAACTTGGGGATAGTAAAGGCGAGGATGCTGGGCGTGAAGCTGAAGAAGGTCCATTTGATCATCTGCTGCTGTTCATCGACCGTTAGAACGTCCATGTGTTTGCCGAAGCCGTAATGCACGGAGGTAATGGTCATGCCGACGCAAATCCATGCACATGCCTAGAGGTAGGTGGGATGGAGTGGTTAGCATTGGTTGAGTTATGACTGACAGATGAGATGCTGCAGGAAAACAAGAGAGAGAGAGAGAGACGGGACTCACTGCTCCAAGAAGGATCAAACAATCATCCACCTCCAGCTTCCCCAGTATCCTCGTCCGCACAAAGAGACGAGCAAACACAAAGACGGTGCAGATGGCAACAATTATGGTGATAATGGCGATGATCCCCGGGCCCTTGTTGGCTTGGATGTGGTCCTCTGTCAACCCTTGGTTTGTAGAGGCAGGCGGAGCTGATGCTGGGTCAGCCATGGCTTGTGTGGTGACTGTGGACGTTCTGCCTGTCTGTGGTATTCTTCTTTTTGAGACAACACGGTGGATGAAAATGTTTGCTTAGTAGTGTCTTATGTCATGCCATTCCCATCCTGACATGCTGTTGATCGCTTTCACAAATTGTCCTGGAAGGCAACAGATGCATGAAGAGGCTTTTTGAAAGAAAAGCCATGTGGCGTTTGTTACCCATTGTCGACTTCGACACCAGAGGTTTAATACAGAGCAATTATCCAGCTTGCTTCTTCACCTGTTAGTCGTCTCATATCAATTGCGCCGTCTTTCGAGAATTCCTTGTGCGAACGAGGGTTACTGGCATACGAGGGTTGCGAGCGAGGGTTGAGAAATTCAGAGTGTAATCTCAACCATTCGCACCGCACCCTTCAACCGAACACAAGACATACCCACTTCTCTGTAACCAACAATAGGTGCTTAACCCCTGGCACCCGCAGGTGATTAAATTAAGACAAGGCATGGAGGCGAGTCCGCGGGGGCGAGTCCTGTCTTGGTCTGGTCTGGCTTGGGAGCCTGGCTTGGGAGTAGGGTTCAGGGACTGGACCTTGCGAGGGTTGTTCGATGAAGAAAAATACGGGAGATAGGCAAACACCCCACGCTCGCCCGGACTGGCTGGTGCCGGTACTGATCATCGATCCTTTCACTGCGATGGGTATTTGATGGGCGACTTGGTTGCCTTGGCCCGGCCGATGATCCGGGAAGTGGAGGTATGGAAGGGAGGAAGGACAAGTTGAGTGGGAATCGACCCCAGATTCAGCTTCTTCACAGCTTGCTATTCTTTCCTCGACGCGTAGGTTCCTTCTCGCGAACGGGCCGGAACCGAGACGGGGGAGAGTGCTTCTAGTCCGATGTTGTCATGATAACATTTCTGTTTTGGTCTTGCTTCCTGCGACGAGGCCGCGACGGCCAGAAAGCCCAAAGCGAGATACCAAGCAAAAGATGCCGAGTCCCCGTGATGATGTGAAGACAATGGCAAAAATGCCCTGGTAAAGGTACTAGGTTGTCGATAGTCGGCAAGGATTGACCGTTAAAGAAGTTGTTCTGTAAAGGAACCCTCTGCGTGCAGTGGTGTGTGTCATTAAAAGAAACTCCGCCCCCCTCCATAACCGACAAATTCTGGGTCTCTTTTTGCTTCTTCCAAATCACTCGATGTTACCTCGGTTCGACAATCCTCTCTCCGACTGTCTGGAACAGATGCTCAGGGTTGAGGACAAAGTTGAAATGCACATCAGGACATCGCCGGTGACAGCAGTACGACATGAACTTGGCACGTTGTCAATGGGCTCGCTTGAAGGAGTTGCTTTTCGAACGTTCATCGGCATGAAAGACCACGTTCCGCGAGGTTGACAGCTGCAGACTTCACAGTCTGTTCGTTTTCCGGTGGTCGACGTTCATGAGGTCCTGCTCACCCGGAATGAGAATTCTGGCTTCGATACCGCCCCATGTGACAATGTATGCAGCCCATCTGCCGAATCACAACAGCCAACCGCAACGGGAGTCTGTGTTGTGTTGTGGAAGTGGCCGGGATCGTAATCCTCCGAAATGTCGCCCAGTGCCAGTTCCGAGGTCGTAAAAATGGTCAAGAGCACTGTCAAAAGCGAGCCTCCTTTTTGATTAGACATTCAGGACACCTAACCCTATAGCGCAGGTCGTCCGAGAACACCGTCATTTACCTATCACCTGTCCTCGATTCTCTCCAGACCCCTCGACCTGGACTGACTGATGCGATTCCAGGTTCACCTCTTTGACCCGCCCATGGAGAATACTCCGGCGAATTTCCCCAGCGACGCTGGACAGGCCATGTTCAGCACTGTTGGCCTGACATCAACCCCCTATCCGGCAACGATCCACGGTCCGTTTTAGTGATACGGACCACGGAGTGCGGACCGGGGGCGCCGCTGCTCTTGGCGGGAGTGGCTTTAAGCCTGATCCGGTATCGTCCCGGTCGGGGGATGCGTCCGGTACAGTGCGGACCGGCGGCTCCCGCTGTCAGGCCCACAAATATCCGCGATCAGCAGTGGACGAACTTTCGATTCGAAGGGGACCAAGAGCTGTGCCTTTGCTCTGTGGAAGACAATAGACGTCGATGAAGGGATGACAGACAGGTGCACTGGGGATCGATGAGCTGGTCGATAAAGCGTCGCTAGCGTAACCGTATAAAAAGGCGCGAAAAGAAGCAACACCGGACAAAACGATGAGGAGCGGTGAGGGTAATGGTACCTGCGTCCTAGGATTTGGGAGCATTTGAGTTCAAGCCACGAATGACTGGTCAATTCCCCACAAAGGGGCTTTTACTTCGATCGATTGTTCTCGGAAGATCTTGGAAGAAATGCCACTGGCGCGATGACACTCGGATGTCTCTGCTGCCCCTTGTCGGCGATTGTCGCCCTTGTCGCCCTTGTCGTTCGCAGCTCGCTTGACCCCATCATGAATTTCATGACTGCACAATCGGATGTTTATTCAGCATGCAACACCGTGTTCTGTTTGTTTACTGCTTCAACATTGGAGCCACACACTGTGCGACATACCTGTTCGTTCGAGTCGTTCCTCCGGACCTCGGGCCCTTGGTTCCAGGTTGCAATCATCGCGCTACACTTGCCCTCATTGTTGACTCTGCAACTCTGCGGCTCCACCGGTACTGGATGGAAGGGAACCTCCTCCATCACTGATCTTTTTTTTTTTTTTTTGCCGTCTTTTGCAGGTCCTACCAAGGGAAAGCACGGCCTTGGGTTACTTCGTTCATGCAGCTGAGTTCTGGGTTGGAAGAACTTGTCATCTCGATAAACATGCTCCTCCGTAGCATCAGTTCTCCTGCGTTTCTTTGCGTGGTGTTGTCATCACCCTGTTCGAAAGACTGGCCCTGATGCGTAACTCCAGGAGGAGAACAAGCCCCACAGCATCATGAACGATAACCGTGGGCAAAGCATGCAAAGCAACCAACCCTCTCCTACCCTCCCCCAGGGATGCTCACAATCAAACCCGCAAAAACGTGCTATTCCATGTTCGCCACGAGTTTGCGAACATTGACCCCGAAGGCCAGAGGCGTCCAGGCTCCTGGCCATCTCCCACTTTCCGGACTTCTCATGGGGCCCTGGGCCTGGTGTTTTCCGCTCCTTGACAGAAGACGCCATCAATCGCCAACCATGTAAGAGTCTGGACTCAACGACATCCGATAATTGAAATTGTTCGCTCTCGGCTCTGCATGGCAACCTCTCTGGAACGGGGATACGTACGCCATCGCAGTGAGCCACAATGCTCACTTGCAAGGGTAGCATCCGTTATCCGAGGTAGCGTTTGAGTGTAGGCTCCTTACAACATTGACCTCTTGCGTTGCCTTCCCCATGCAATGGAGATGAAGACCCGGAGCAAACCAACTGCATGAAGCTTGGTATGCGGAAACCGGCAGAAAGCACCTCCTTTTCTGCTCATGATCCAGATATATCTCCCATCACGTCGTTCCTTTCTTCACAAGAAGAGTTGAGAGCCTGAGTCCATCCACATCATCACCAACGATCCTTCCACTCGTTCCATCCATCTTATTCAGTCACCCAAAGAACATACAGTGGTCAGTGACGCACCACATCGCAACCTCCACAATGCCCGTCTCCGTCCAATCCCCCACCCGGGCCCGTAACGCCGGCCACCGCACCAAAAGGTCCATATCCTCGGTCTCCGCGTCAGCAGAACCCAAACCAATTGACCCATCAATCATCCACCAACCCAACGACCTCTCCTCTGTGCCCTCCCTTCTCTCCGCCATCCTAACCCAAGGCATCGCGGCGGTCTCCTCACCATCTGACGATGCCAGTCGCCTCGCTTTGCTCTCCTCAGCCCGTGCTCTGGTGCTGGCACTCGAAAAGCCGCGCGAGACCATGATCCGCCAGTGTTGGGCTGATACGACTTGTTTCTCTGCCTTGTCCATCGGTGTGGACACGGGTGTGTGGGCGTACCTGGGACGGGACGACCGTCCGAAGACAGTGAGGGAGATTGCGAAGCACACGGGCTTTGAGGAGGCGTATCTGGGACGGTTGTTGAAGCATATTGCTGCTATGGGACATATTGTTGAGGTTGCGAAGGATGAGTACAGGCCGACGAACTTTTGCAAGGCGTTGAGTATTGACAGGCTGGGTGTTGCCTATCCTTTGTTGTAAGTTTTTTTTTCCCTTCCCTCGTTTTATTTCTTGCCATTCCTGTTGTTGAGAATGGGTGAGCATAAACTGACACACTCATAGCACCGGACCAGGCAACACAGGCGGCGTGTTCCGTTGCATCGCCTCCTTCCCCTCCTACCTCAAATCCACCAACCTCACCACCCCGACTTCCATCACCGAGAGCAACACCCAGTTTGCCTTTGACACCCCCAAGAACTTCTTCGAGTTGTGCCACGACCCAGCCTACGCGCCCATGGGCGCCCAGTTCAATACGCACATGGGAGCATACGCCTTCGGCCGCCCCACGTGGGTTGACGAAGACTTTTATCCCGTTGAGGAGCACCTGCTTGAGGGCTTCGATGCTAAAGATGAGAAAGCGGCGTTGCTGGTGGATATTGGTGGTAGCATTGGTCATGATTTGCAGAAGTTCAGGGATGCGTTCCCGGAGGCGAAGGGACGGTTGGTGTTGCAGGATTTGGAGCCAGTGGTGAGCCAGGTGAAGGAGGGCGAGTTGGATGGGAGTATTGAGAGGATGGCGTATGACTTTTTGACGGAGCAGCCAGTCAAGGGTGAGTTTTTCCGTTCCTTCTCTGGAGTGTTGGTCGTGATGTCAGGAAGCGCCGAAACTAACATACTGAAATCGATAGGTGCTCGCGCGTACTATATGCACTCTGTCCTCCACGACTGGCCTGACAAGGGATGCCTTCCCATCCTGGAGAACGTCAAGGCGGCCATGAAGCCGGGGTACTCGCGCTTGTTGGTTAACGAGAACGTTATCCCCGATGTTGGTGCGAACTGGGAGAGTACATCTTTGGATGTCATGATGTCGTGCTTGGTGTCGGCAAAGGAGAGAACCAAGGAACAGTGGGTGCAGTTGTTGGAGCGGGATGCTGGGCTCAAGATCACTGGAATTTACCCGGTTGGTAATGGTGTCGAGAGCATCATTGAGTGCGAGTTGCCAACCGAGGAGTATGAGGGATCAACAGGAGAGGGCGAGTCGTCAACGGAGGAGTCTTTGTAACTGTTATACCATATTAGATGATATCTTCCCCCGTTTATCGATTGACTTCTCACCTCAGCTTTTCTCCGGGTGCGTGCCAGCCTTACCGTGCTCCAATGGCAGGACTAAGCTGCGATTGAGGCCTTGGTGGGTAATGCGCATTGCATTGAAGTGATGAAGGCGCGGAACTCTACGGAGTCCGCCAGGCGCTGTGGCTGGATCGTGTACCAGACAGGCGATGTAAGAAAATGCCTGAAAGTAACCACCAATTGTTTGTGTGGAAAGTGTGATGATTCTGGAAAAGAAGAGCAAACTCTGGTACCAAGAAAGGAGGGAAGTCCAGGTTGTCTGGCCAACCCACCTTTGGTCGATCTTGGGAATGACATGTACTTTCCTTCGTATCGCTGCTTTCCTTCTTGCGGTCACTGAGAGCAGTTCATTCCTAACAAAAGGTAGCGTCTTCTACACAGGAGAAGTATCGCAATTTCATAATGGGCTCATGGCTCATGGCGTGGAAGGAGCTTGGATCTGTGCGTACCCATCGGTCACGACATGTGCCTTGAGGCCATACGGTCGGAACCAAGGCAAGTACCTTGTGCAGTATCTGTGCAGTGCACCTGCAATGCACCTGATATACTTAACCGTAACAGACGTGTCTGACACCGGATCCGGCGTTATGCGGCCCCCTTGAGCCGCCAAGACCCGGCCGTGCCGTGTCCGATGCCGGTCTCCCCACACAGAATTCCGGGGCCAGATACCGGCGATTTCGGAAGGGGTGCAACTGGACGTATGGCGATTTTGCTTGTAAAGGAGTGGCCGGAGTGGCCGGAGTGGCCGGAAAGTTGAGATCCAGAGGACAGGACGGGTCCTTGGGCATATAAGCCCCAAGCTCAGACTCTCCAATAACTCCCGTACCCATCCGCCTTCTATCATAGGTTCTGTGTGGCCTAGCGGTATGGTATACTGTACGGGGACCAGAAAACATTGCTCAGTGCGCGGTACTGGTGGTACAGTTTTCATAGGTCGCAGCTGGTCTTGAGTTCGACTCGGACGGATCTGGGCGACTGAGCTTTTTTTTTTTTTTTGTTTCCTTTTTTCTTCGCCTTTCGAATTAATTCTTTTGGTATCCAGTCTGCCACGAGCCAATGTTTGGCACTGCGGCCCAAATATCCAATGCCTTGTTGAGGTTCCGATTCAGTTTTCTTGATACTTCAACAGTCAGCGAAGGCTTTTCCACTAACCACCTAGGTGAATGGATCATGTTGCAACTTTACCTTCTTAACTGAGAACTTTTTCAGTTCACCCCTTAACATCGACTGTTCGGCATATACAACATGAAGGCAATGGTGTATACCCATGAGGTGGGACTAAATACGAAAGTATACTGCCATATTCCCATAAAACGAACAAAATGCTGGCTTACTGTGAGACTGGAAGCAGGACGTCCTGATTTGATCTTTGATCTGGAGAAGTTGGATGGGACCATGGGCCAGCTCTAAAATGCCCGCTTGAGCTCAAAGCGTGCTCAGAGGTGTGATTTGATGACACCGACACATCATGTAGCACCTTTAAACTTGGATGCGATAAGGCCAAGGTCCATTGCTGGTACTGAGGGATCCACGGCAGTGGTTCTGGAGCTGGGATTCGAACGCCAAAGTGCCTATCCGGTGAGCATTTGAATCCCTGACATCAGCTCGGACGGTAGTTAACTGTTCCAAAAGTATGCATTATCGGATATTTTGGGAGAGTTCGGAGGTGTTGGTGCAAAGGTGAGAATGTATAGAGCGAGGGGAATGTTGCTTTTTCCGAGTGTCCAAGGTGAGTTGTCGCTGCCCGTTTGTGTTTTGATTGAAGATGATGACGTCTGTGGATTAGTGTAGTGGGGAGTTGTTTACAGCGGTGTCTCAGGGGAAGAAGGCCCTAACAATATGGCCCCTACATCGGCAGTGCAGGCGTTAGTGTGATAAGATAAGGGGAATTGACGATGATTCAGCACGTGAGCTCGCACAGCTGTCGGAGTTTAGCGTGTCCTTGGACCCCGCGTCGCGTACCTAGGTAACAATTGAACTTTCCCACTTACAATCCTAACTCCCCAAGCTCAATCAACTTGTACCACCTCACCCGAAAACCCAATTTCAGTTTCTTACCCGATCGCGTCTCTCTCTCTCTCTGGATTTCTCCTGCGACACTCTGGTGACCTATACCGATCTAATGTCCATCTCTGTCCGTATCTGCCTCGATTTCAGTCCTGATCGAAACAGACCGACGACCTTGGGCCATAATTACGACATTTAACGGGTCACTAAGTGCCCTGGCGCCTACGGGCAATTGAGCGGGAGCTTGACAGGTACGGCTCAGGTACTTGCTTACGCTCCGATAGACACCTTGCTTGGTGCAGCTGCATATGTACATCTACTTACACGGACACTGTCTAGAGCACCGTATACAATCATTCTCGATCCTCCGTTTGCTCGACCATCTTCTCGACATTTTTCTCTTCTCGAGGTCCCGTCTTCCTCTCTTTCGGAGGACCTCGCTCTCTCCTCGACGACGTCACATCCTACTTTTCAACACCGACAGCAATGGGACCTCCTCGGCTCCCTGATCTGCCGACCGAGCTGATCTACCTCATCGCCGGCCATCTCCCCCGATCATGCGATCTCTCGGCCCTGGCCCGGACAAACCAACGGCTCTACTGCATCATCAACAACATCCTCTACACCGGAGCTGTCAAGCCTGGCAGGGACCCTCAACCCCTTCTCTGGGCCAGTCGGAAGGGAGTCCCGTCTACCGTGGACAAGGCTATTTGCGCCGGTGCCAAACCAGACTACCTCTTCGAGTTTGTCCTCTCCCGCAAGGCCTGGGAACTCGTCTGTGCCCTCGAACGCGCCACCGCCCCCAACCAGGACTTGGAATTTGACGATTGGAACTGGACTGCTACCCCCAACACCAGCCACGGTAACCCTGCCACCCCGGCACTCTACCGCGACCTTCACGAGATAATAGGTACCATGCGCGTTCCGTGGGATCTCGCCCCCAATCCGCCTTCCAACTTGGCCGGCCCCGCTCCAAATGCTCTTCTCGGCGTCTTGGACAATGAACACAACCAAGATGACCAGGATGACGATGGTTCCGACACTGAACCCCTTTCCGAGCCTGATGTTCCCTTGCCCTTTCCCCCTCCACCCGGAGGAGGACTTGTTGGCGCCTTTCTGGGCAACCTTTTCCAAGCCGTTGCCAACCACAACCACAACCCATTTGACGACGACGAAGAGGAAGAGGACGAAGAGGACGACGACGACATGATGGATGAAGATAGCGAGGTGGACGACTGGGTACAGAACATGCGGACAAGGGGAATCACGCGCCGCTGTGCCCCCATACACATAGCTGCCAGAGAAGGCCATAACGCCGTCATCGAAAAGCTGCTGGAGCATGGTGCCAACATACATCTTGAGGCCGAATGGTATTGCTCCTGCCGCCCGCCCCTCTCGCTATGGGAGACGCGCGAACTCGAGGCTGCCGGCACACTGCGCGAGAACCTGGAAGCTTCCTATTGGCCTGCTATCCACCTAGCCATGTGTTTCTCCCGCTTCGACACTGCCAAATTTCTCATTGAGCGTGGTGCCCTGAACAACATCCCCAAGGGTCATCTGGGGTTCACCGTGCTCCACCAGGCTGCTTCCATCGGAAATCTGGAAATGCTCAAATACATTGTCGAGGCAGGCAAGGCCACCTGGCCTACGGTCGATGTCGAAGATGACATGGGCCTGACGCCTCTCTACTTTGCCTGTGCCAAGGGTCATTGGGACACCATAGTCCCCTACCTGATCGAGAAGGGCGCCAACATCGACAAGGAGTTCGAGGTGGATCTGTGGGAATTCAAGGCCAAGACGACACTTCTCGGCGAAGCTTGCTACCTCGGCCACTACGATCGGGCCATGCAGCTCATCGAGTTGGGCGCAGATGTCAAACAACAGCTCGAGTTCAATCAGCTGACATTCGGCAGACGGCACCGTCTGGACGAAGCGGATGAGGAAGACGAGGAGGCCAGCGATGGCATCAAGAGGATCCCGCTTCTTCACGTATGCTGCACCGCTCCTCGAGCAAAGGATGAGGATGGCTACTACTCGATGCAGCCACCGCGAACTGGTTTAAGGCTGCCTAGAAACGAGGAGCCGGCAGCGTTGGAACGTGTAGCCCTGATAAAAAAGCTTCTGGCTGCTGGCACGCCTATTGACCAAAGCTGGGACGACGGCAACGGAGAGACTCCTCTGTTCATGGCCGCACAGTTCCACGTCACCTCGGCAGTCAGAGCGCTGTTGAAAGCTGGTGCCGATCCCCTTGTCCAAGACAAAAACGGTCGAAATGCATTGATGGCCGCACTCCATCACCCACTTGGCGATCAACCCTGGACCACGTTCGCCGAGTGCTTCCCAGCGAGTACCCGGCCAGACAAAGCACCCGAGATTGTGCGCTTGCTTTTGGAGGCTGGCGTTCCTGTCAACCATCGGGACTCCAAGGGACGCACCGCGTTGCACCTCGTCTTTCGGCCCAGGAGAGCGTACGAGTTAGGATCAGCGACGGACGCCATCTGCAACATCGTCCGCTTGCTGTTCGACGCTGGTATTGACCCGTGCATCCGGGATCATGACTCCGTCCCCGTCATTAAGAATGCGCTCAAGTGGGATTACGGCCGCGCTGCTGAGCTCCTGGTTCAATTCCACGGTCCCACCATCGGCTCACATTTGAGTGCTAGGGAGTTCCGAAAATGCTATTTGATGATAGCCGAGACCCCTTACTCCAGGCTCTACACCCCTTATGTCAGTGGAAGTTCCGATCCAAGCAATTCGTATGATCTGCTCCTTGACATCGACAGCTCTCATTACCTCACCTCGGACAAGACTCTTTTATTCGACCTGATCAGGAAAGGCGCCGACAACAACATCCAATTCCTCACGGCAGCCGATAAGCTTGTCAAGCGTGGCCTGCATCGCATGAACCTGACTCTCGAAGAGAAAATACGATTGATCCACAAAAGCATCGACCATGACATGCAAAGGGTGCTGATAGAGGCCGTCAACGTCACCGTCCACGACATCGACCCAACCATTCTTCGGGACAAGGCCGTGCTCGAAGAGGCCCTGCTGCTTATCCTCCGCCATCAGAGACGGCTGGCTTTCTCCGAACCCATGATCGCCCACCTCATCAACGCCGGTGCCGACCTCCACCGGCCCTGCCCCTACCAACTGCCCCTAACATACGAACCCAAACCCGGAAACCCCATGCCTGCTGCTTTAGTACTCGTCAACCCAAACACTCCCCCCACCTACATGCCCCCGCTCTACACCGCCATCCGCTACGGCCACGTCAAGGTCGTCAAGTACATGCTCACCAAGCAGCCCATCCGTGGTAACCCCCACGCCCCGCTAAACCCCTACCTCCATCAAGCCGTCAACCTCGACCCGGCCATCAAAGAGAAATGGTCCATCAGCAACCAACAGGACGAGGCAAAAGTCCGCAGCGACATGGTCCGCGCTTTGATTGAGTCCGGCGCCGACCCGACGCTACTCAACAGAAATAATGACACGGCGCTGTCAATGCTCCTCAAGGGCCTTGCCGCCGATCCAGATAGGAGGATGCTGAAGTCCCTGTGTCATCTCATCAAGCCATTGAGTAAGGGGGTGGATATCAACCAGAAAAATAAGGAGGGGAAGAGTGCCCTGGAGTATCTGAGGGAGTTGATGGTGTTAAAACAGGTGGAGGAGAAGGATAGGGATGGGCCGAGTACGAGTGAGGTCAAGATGAAGGTTAAGAGGTACAATGAGGGGTGACGTTGTTGAGGAGTAGGATGGAATTGGTGCCGGAGGAGGAGGCGGATGAGGATGGGGAGAAGGAAGAGGGGAAGGAAGAGGATGGGAAGAAGAAGGAGGAAGGAAGGATGGTAATCAAGTGGTTACTACCAAAGGGGATGGGGAGAAATACTCTGTGTCCGGTGCCTAGCTCGGTGCCGAGGGAGAGCCATGGTTATTTTTAGGCGGCTCCGGTTCCGGTTCTGGTTGTGTAAGCTTGTTTGGGTTGGGTTTGATCTGATCTTACCCTATTTTTTTCGGGCTGTTGTCTGTACATTTCCACATTATTTGGGTTTGATATTGTCGGTTGTACATTTTGTGAGTTTGTGTTCAGATATGCTCGGATAGGTATGGACATATGGTTGGTAGATATATCTTGAGGTTTGTTCTTTTCTTGCTAGATTCACCTGGAGGTAAGAAACAGATGGTGAAAGCGGTGAATACCGTATGCATGGTGAGCGAGTGGTGGAATATATAGAGTTAGGTAGCGTTGTGTTTCTGGTGTCATGGTTTTCTTTCTCCCTTTTGTTGCTGAACGATGTGCATCACAGGTGAATGAACTGGTGTCTGAAACTGGCCATTTTTATAAAATGCCGGAAGTCAAAAGGCCAAGGATCTTCAACTATTAACTATCAGTCGGGAAGGCATCGGTTGCGGGCGGTGTCATGCAGGTAGGTGGGTTGAGCGGGTTGAGTGGGTTGAGGTTTGTCTACCGCAAAGAGTCGACTCGGGGGATCCGGCTTGACGTTGAGGTTCCAAGGCCACTACAAAACTCAGACTCTTCTAGTAGGTACCTACATGTATGAGGCGCCTTGGGGTTTGGGTCTGGGTTTTGTCGCGGGGGAGATTCGAGCAGGCATTCTGCAATGCAATGCTGGAGGTGCATGTGCCTCAGGTCTACTAGTTATGCCTGATTCTCAGGGAGGGAACCTCAAGTCGGATTTCCCGAGTCTTTGTACCTAGGTAGTACCCTGATGCCACACAACCGGGGAGCGGAATGGAATGAAAGTCACGATGGAATGGCTTGAGACGAGTGGCAGTTGTTGGTTGCTGAGGCCTTGACCCATTGCTTGCACAGGGCCAGACTGGTCGTTTCTAGACCTGACGAGTAGATCTCCAGTCCTTTTGGCCCCCCTCTTGCACTCTCGTCTCTTCCACAGCATCACTCCATATCTACCATTGTTGTGTCGTTTGTGATCCTACAATATGACGTATCATCCGTGCCGTTTGGCAAAATACTGACTATCCCCAGCTTAAACAATTTGGCGTGTGTCCGAAATTTTGACGCACGAATCCCATTCTCCATACAAAATCCACCTCTGCTTTCAATCTGCAGTTGATCACACTGCATTATGTACTGGCTGCACAAACGCATTTGGAGCTTGCGATGTGCCCTCCTGTATTCCTGACAAACTTGTGCTGCTACATTGCTTTTTCTATAAAAAAATCACATGACAGCAACGCCACTCATAGAATAGTCGTACAGATCACCGAATGCCGACTGAGTGTTGTCTGCATAAACTGACGACACTCCATCCTATCTTTGTCCCGAACTCGTTCCACTTCCCTTAGCCTCCTTTTCGCATTTCTGGAGCTCCTGCTGGAGTATCGCCGCGATGCTCGAAGCCCTCTGATCCAAAACGTTGTGGATAATCTGGTATTAGGAAACGGAGCCGAATGTTAGCGGAGGATCCAGTAGGGCAACCTGGAGTGTCCAGGAAGAAACGTGATATACATGCCTTATCAACAAGCTCGCGTTTGGCCTCAACAAATTTGCAGGTGTGAGGGATCGAAAACCTCTGTAATGCGTTTGATATCTCCGGGGAAAGCTGACACTTTGCAATGTCACTGTATTTTCCGGTCGAAGGAGGCATGGTGGGCGGTTTTTCTGTTCTTGGCCGAGCCCAAGTTATGATCGTTCGAAGCTTTGATGAGGCCTGAAAACGACAAGGAGTGGAGGTGATCGTGGGGTTCTGATTATGGCTTTCATCTGGACCAGTTATAGGCTCGTCCTATGCCAGCCTTCGTCGTGATGGCTTCCGTCTGTTCAACAGAAATTGCCTGCTGCCACATACTGTCGAGTCTCGGCACACAAGCCACCACCAATTTATTTTCCCACTGCCGGACATGGGCCATTTTCGCGTACTATTCAAGGTAGAAACGCACCAGTCTGACCTCCGCCATGGGTCTGAGAGGCGTTCCCTGCCCAACGAGAACTTGATATCTGGCGGCCCTAGCCTTCGGCAGCCGTCTCCACGTCGGGATGTAAATCCGGACGGCGCAATGCCTGTCGGGTTCCCCTTCATTCAATTCTCCTTCGACATCTTGTAGGATACCTACTTTACACGACCAAGGGAGCGATGCCCGCGGGAAGGCGTTGTCTGGGATATACTGAGGAGTGCATAGCAAGCCCAACTCTGTGCATTGGGACACCTGGCGAGGTAGAGCAGCGATTAATACAATGTACCTATCGTCGTGACTTCATTCACTGGGCGGTCATTTATGCTGGGATATGCTGGCTCATGGCCCGCCGTGGTATGCCCTGTCCTGCACCCATGAACGAAACTGACGCTGGCGTGATTTTCGAGCCTCGACGGTGAACAGTAGGTGGCAGGTGCAGTGCAACCAGCAGCCAGGCTCGATTGTGGTCTGTGCAAGCCGGGATGAGTTCAAGGTCGCCTGCCACCTGGGGAAAGATGCTGAGAAGTCGACTGGAAGCACAGATAGCGACGTTTTGGGCAGAGATCCAAATACCAAAGTCTGTAGAAAAGCCTGCCAGTAGATCTGGGACAGTGACTCTAGGGGTCGAGGTTGCTTGATTTAAATTTACTACGGCTAATTATGTACAGTGACTAAGCAAAGTATGACAGGCTGGGGTGCATATGCCCAGACGGCCAAACCTACAAAAGATAGGACGATGTTCTGCTTGCAAGGCAGAACTCGGAATGCACACTATATAGCCAATGTCAACCTGTGACACAAAGCTATTAACCAGGCTGATTTTAATATCAACACCATAATTACCAGGCTAGAGAGGAGTGCAACCATGCGTGGTATAGCTCCTTCATAAATATAGGCATGAAATAAGCAGAGTCTCCTACCTATTGGTCTTAGTAATCTGCAATTTAAATTAATTTGGTTCCGAAATAACTCTGTGCTTGAATGAAAGAAATATTGTCCTTTTCCCCTTCAACACACTCTAATGTAAAATGTCAAGTATGGTAAATGAAAATGTAATGAAAGGGTAGTAGGTATATTACTACGGGAAATATGCGCATAATATACAGAAAAAACCGTTACATGGCGCGGTTGTATTTCAGCTGATAGTCTTGTCGAATAAAGACTATTTTTCTGCAAGCTGGTACAAACGGTCTTAGGCTTTTTTTTTTTTT